TTAGGTCTTTATAAATATTCGGCTTTAAGCGAATAAAGATTAGAATGTTTATAATCTTTTCTGACTTCGTAAGTATATACTAGAGTTATTAATTTTATTATAAAACTATAGCTATTACTAATAAGGTCTAAGCTATCATATTACTTTAAGAAGTATAAAGAAGGTTTCTGAGCTAATCCTATAGTTAAAAGAATATATAATAAATACGTAATATAGACATAAAGTATTTATTAGTATTAACTCTGAATTTTAAAGTAAGGCTTACCTTAAATCTTTCTAGGTCTTTATAAGTATTAGGCCTTTGGCTACTAAATATAAGAATGTTTATAATCTTTTCTGACTTCGTAAGTATATACTAGAGTTATTAATTTTATTATAAAACTATAGCTATTACTAATAAGGTCTAAGCTATTAGGCCTTAAGTCGGATCTTAAGCTAGGTGCTTAAAGGGCTAGGGAGTATAAATTAGAGCCGGATTATATATAAGAATAGGTATATAAAAGGGTTTTTGTAGATCAACTATGTCGTTATTAAGACGTATCCGGGCATTAGCTATAGCTTCTATAGATAAAAAGGACTCAAGGGAGATCTCAGACTCTTTTAAAGAGAAAGGGACGCAGAACAGGATGAAAGAAGGAGAGGCAGGGGTTCTTCCACTGCCCAGACTAAGCAACAAGGAACAATGACAAGGGAAAATAAGTTAAGGCGGACCTAAGGACCAGAAGATAAAAATAAGTGGGACGCTTCGTAATGTCAGGAGAGCTATGGTTGGGCCTAATATACAAGACGAAGCGTGAAGAAAAGGAAACGAAAGTGGGAACATAACGCTCTATATACATGTCTGTGCCCCTTATTTCGCTAAGGCCAGGTACAGACAACTGTGGGTACCTGTCGTCAGTGATAGCTAGAATAGCGGCGGGGAGCTGGGTCCGAGATGAGCTCTGTGAGCCATGGTCAGTGCCACAGGGAATATGGTCCTTGGCGTAGGTCGCGGGAGGATTCGTAACACGCACTCTGCACAGCAGGTTGACATCTAACTGTCTGTTACGCATACAATTTGACTAATTTGACAAATCCACAGAGGTTGATTTGCTTTGACAAAGGCACGGAATTGATTTGATTTGCCAAGCATTTGATTTGATTTGTTTGACTAATTTGATTTGGTGGATACACTGCGCTGTGAGAATGGGTAAGGGACGAAAACTCAATTAGTGGACTCATCCGCAGTTGGTACTTGAGTACCTGTCCAGAGGCACGGAGCAGAACGGACAAACGACATCATCAGACTCATCAAGTTGAGTGGCTGAATTGTCTGTGCCCTGCTTTTGGCGGCGTATCTCATACAATACGCGTCTTCTCCAGTTGGCAACAGTAGCTGCCAACTGCTCCAGGAGCGTTCGCGGAGCGTCTCGAAATCTCCGTCTAAGGAGCTCAACAATATTTGGCTCGAAGCCAAGATCTTCTGCTTGGGCTGGTATACTAGTAGGAGAGAACTCTCGGGTATGCCGGGAGTAGATAATGGCGGCCGCAAAGCTGAGTGAATACCTACAGGGTGGGCGTGAAGCATCTCGATTGCTTCTTTGACAGCCTTGATGGATGCTTCCTATTCTTGCTCCATTATCCATTTTCCATGACATTGCCCTTATACGATCTTCTTCTCTTGCTCCACCGCTGGGTTAAAAGCATCAACTAAAGATATATCAACACGTGAATCTGTTTAATTCTAGGAGGAATCTCGCTTACGTCGGCGAAGGCTTTTATCGATCGAGTGTAGGAGCCCGACCACCATGGCCTTCGTTTTCCCGTCGTCTCGTAAGCGTGCGTCGAGCGGGACACTGGGGTCAGTAACAGCGCCGATGTATGACACCACCCAGAGAGAGGAATGTTTTTGGATTGCACGAATACTTTCGCCATCGCTATCTCCGGGATCCGCAGACGCGTTCCGGTATTTGACCACTACCATGTCGAGATCATCATCGTTTTGGCCGGTCAAGTTTTCAAACAAGTTGAGGCAGTCGATACTTAACAATGTCGTATATGATCGCCAGCGAGTCCATTGCGACACGTTTTTACTCAGCCCGTAAGAATGAGTACTGGACCGAGAAGCAAAGTAGCCAAACTAAAAAGGATCGTGTTTGGACGAGAGAATTGTTAAGCAGGAGATTCAGTGATATTTCTGCAAATTGAGGCGTTTGTTTGAGTGTTTTGCATTTAAGTAACAATGTGTATTTTACTACCTTTATACATGTCTCTAACGGCCAGACCTGGCAGCATCGTATCCATGAGTTTCATAAGTGACTGCTCATGTCAAAATAATCATGGCTTCATTGGTGAACGTGAGAGAACATCAGATCAGTTGCGAACCATTTTCTCACCCTGGTAGGATTTCTTGCTTTTCTGATTCTACTTAGCGCTTTCAACTTCCTTTCAGCAGCTGCAAGTAGACTAGGACATGCATGGCGACGCAAATGATAAAGGGCTTCATAGCTGAAAAATCCATCCGCTTGAGTTTTGGCAGGAACCGTAGGGTGCCAACATTTTGACGTCTGACTGGCGAAGATGGTTTGTTCTTGATGTAAGAGATGACGTATTTACGAGTAATTGGCTGCCTGAATGCATCCTAACCAGGCTCTGCTGACATTGAAGTATAAGGACTTGGTAGGATCTGCTCCTGGCCTGGCTGGGTGTAACCGGTACCATGCCGCTTTAGCAAATGGACCTTTGGAGTTGAGGAGCCACAAGTAAACACCCTCGGATAGTTGACACACCACTAATCCTTCTCTCCAGAACGTGCAGACGACCGAGCTTGCCAGCAAGCACAGGTTGGAGTGCCTGACTTCCCTGACACAGAAGCCGCTAACCTCTTCGTCGACCCTTCCAGGCGCACTTTTCTCCCCCCTTAATATCCTGGAGCGCTCGCTTCGGTAGGAGTCTTCCGGAACTGTTCCGATAAGAGCCATCGCATCGTTTGTAATATCTGCAGCTTTTATTAGTATGTATGCTGTACGATGGAGGACAAACAGACACGTCGAACTGCTCAGCCTGGCGACCACCAAAATATTGTTTATCGAGGTAGCTTGGAACGCAAGTCTTGCCAGGTAGTTCCTGGCCACCGACATGAATGGTTTTAATATGTGGGTACTTTTGAGTATCTGGATAGCTGTCACCTCTCTGTTGTATGGAGGAATAGACCTGCGTCTGTGAAGCTTCTTCGCACAGGTGAGAAGAACGGTAGAATGGGTAGATGCTTACATTCCATATGAGCCTTGAGTTGTGTTTTGGCGGTGGGGTCTCCTTTCTTAGCTTTCGCTGCGAGTTCCGACCACTCTTCACATCTCTCCAGCTCCTCTTTGGGAAGTGGCTGGTCACACGGCAGGCAGTACTCATAACGTGTTAGTTTACACATGGCAGCTCAAGGATGGAAGGAGTGAGGAATTCGGAATTAATTCAAGATGAGGTGTGGAATAGAGCTCGACGCAAGTCGACGAACAGGATGTAGAAAGAAGATCGAAGGAGAACATTCCAAATGAAACATGGTTGTCTAAACATGTCTTCATCACGAGTTTGGCCCTCCATTGAACCAGAAACATGGTGCCGCGTACAAGAAACAAATGCTGACACTGATGAGTAGCAGAAATACGAAGCGGTGGTAGCGCCGGCAGGAGGCTGAAGTAGTCTCCGGTGTCCTAGTACTCCTTACATGTGGTCGGTTTCAACTGTCAAATCTTATACCGGCCATTGAGAAGATTTTGGGAAGCCAAGACTCCCACTAAGTCTGTCACCAGAACATACTACTACTAGTAGTAAGCATTGAAACAGTTTCAATTGATGTTGGTCTCAGCATTGATTTCGGTGGGCGGCGCAGTGGCTGGTATGGGCAGTGTGTCTATCAAATCAAATCAAATTAGTCAATCAAATCAAATCAAATCAGTGCTTTCAGTCAAAAAAGCAAATCAACTTCCGTGGATTTGACAAATTAATCAAACTGAAGTCTTGGCAGAAAAGTCTCTTAATGTGAAATTTGAGGATATTTTCGATAGAATAATAATAGTCTTGGCGGACACTTAATCTGGACGAGAAATCAAATAACCCCCTAGAAATATATTGCTTACTGAGATTTGCCTCGATTTGACAAATCAGCCAACCAAAGCAAAGGTCGGATTTGATCAAATACTAGTAGTCAAAGCAAATCAGGGCCTCGATTTGCTTTGTTTGATTTGATGGATACCCTGCTTCTATGGGCCAGTGTAAGATGCAACGTGGACGATGAAGAGGCTGGTCTTACTTGGTGTCGAGCTTGCTTGTCTCGACAGGAAAATATATCACTCCATACATCCAAAAGTGAGTAGTATGCTTCGAAATAGCGTTGTCGATCGCCGGTATTGAAGTCGCGACAAGTTCTGCGGTTTTTGTCAATCGACTTCTCCTTCGATGACAGCAGATCCTTCAAGACGTATGGAGAAAAGTCCACCGATTTCATGCCCTCTCTGGCTCCGTGATGAGGTATGTGATGTGATGAGAGCTTCAATCAGGCCACAGCTGTGCCGATCGATCCCCAACGTCCTCAGTCATGGACTTGGTCCCGGTCTCAGGTGCTGTAAAAAGGCCGCAGCGCCTGAAACGACATGTCCACGGATGACAAACCGAGGCGAGATGTAAAGGATATGCCAATGCCAGAATAGACCCTGCCGTGACCTGCAGGTTCAAGGGTCCTCCATTTACGATAGGCAATGTACAATTTGCATAGCAAGTTCAGCAAGCCAGCCAGGAGAAGAACGAGATTGAAGGTTGGTCTGCATGATTCTGGAATAGGTTGTGGTGGTAAAAGCACTTCGGTTTTTGCTATATAACAAGTAACAGTCATCTATTACGATTTCTGCACCCAGGCTTGAACTCCTAGAAAAACCGCGTGCAATCTCACTTCCCAACTGAGGATCAAGCCATACCACGCATCATGCCTTCTGCAGTTCTTCATGTCACGCACAAGAAGCCAAAAGCCTGGCTCTGTATGTTCGTGCAATCATGGCACTTGGACATGGTCACGACGCCGGGCAGATGACGTCGCATCACCACAAGCGGATCGTGAATGAGGAATTGGAGAACAAAAGCTCCCTCTGTGCTCATCTCAATGTATGGTGATTCCACTCACATTGAAATATAATGGCGCTTAGAACACTACTAAAAGCTTCAGGCTGGAAAATGCTAAGGTTAAACCCCAGGCGGTATTTGCAGGCATCTCAGTGGTCTTCTCGGATTCTAACAGGGGATGGTTGCCCTCGCGATCCACGATGGTGTCTATTTACTTGACTTCTGCGTGGATCACGTCAGTTAGAATGATGAGCATCATGCTTCATGAAGATTCAATTGCTGGCTCCATCTCAAAACTATCAAAGTACGAACAGGAACATTTGTGCAAGATTCTGGGCAGGCGTGCCGCAGAAAGTAGCCTCCATGAGTCCAGCCCTCTGCTCTAGACTATGGGCCGAGCTTGACGTCTTCCAATCAGTCCGCACAATTACAGCATTAGAGGATTGAAAGCAGAGCATAATCAGATATCTTGGGATAGTAGGAGCGTTAAGGAGCAAGCGGATTCCATAACTAGGAAGTGTATCATACCAGTCCCACCTATCCAAAATTGTCCCTCGATCTTCGCACTAATCCATTGGCAGTTACTTTGGTCCTAACCAGACGCCACCGTTGCAAGTCGATTTTCGAGGGCAAGTCTTGGTCGACGCCGCAGATCATGCCCACCTGGCCACGCTTGACGATTTCAGAAAGATTGTCGGTTCTGGAACGTGAGACTCAATGATGTACTATGCCAGCGACCTCGAGCAGTGGAAGGTCATTAGCCCATTCTTCAGCAGTACGTCGCAAGGTGGAGGAGTTGCCCTGATGAGACATGCGCTTATGCGCTTCTCCAGGGTCCTAGCCATGGACGTGAAATGGTGAGAGGTCTGAGGCAATCGCATCGCATTAAAATTCGTAAACCTTCCCGACTTGCTTTCCAGGTACGTTCTCAAGCCGAAAGTAGGAATCTTCCGCATCACGAAGATGAATCAAAATATCTTGCAAGGTGTGGTAGAACCAGATGTACGATTGACGGCCGAGAACAAGCAAGCAATGGACGACTGTATATGCGAAAATGTCGAGAGACACTGGCTCCCTGAAGGCGCCCTTTGGCTTCACCAGCTCAAGGTGGTGCAGATGTCATCATTGTGGATGATTCGCAGATGCCAGACATGATCCCTCTCGTCAGGGCCATCACACCGGGTAGACTCAGGGTGTCCGTTTGAATCAATTGAGTCAAATAAATCAAATAAATCAAATCCGTGCTTTCATCATATCAAATCCGTGGTTTCATCAAATCAAATCAGGACTTTTAGATTTGACAAATTATTCAAATGGAAGTCTTGGCGGAAAAGTAAATTATTTTGAAATTAGTATTCAGGGTTGTTTTCAATGAGAAAAAAGTCTTGGCAGACTCTTTTTGTGAGGTGAAATTACGAAAGGCAGTCCTCATACCGAGCTAAGTGGTGACTTAATATCGAAAGACGCAACTCCACAACCAGACGTATGGGGCTATCTCTGGGACAAGATCAAATCAGCGGATCTCTTCATCAGCCACCCCATTCGACATTTCGTGCCGGACAACGTGCCCATTTCGAAGGTGGGATATATGCCTGCTTCATCAGATTGGTGTAGTGCCTGACCATAATTCAGCAAGCCATTTGTGGGATGATGCGAATCCGTTTCCGGCTTGATGGATTGAACAAGACCATGAACGACTGGGACCATGCTTACCATGGCCATATGTACCACGCCGTGTGAACAGATGAGGATGTAAGCCCGATACGGTTACAAGTCTTCCACGGGAATATCCTTGGACCATTAGCATTCTAGGCCCAAGCTGAATGTATCCTCCACTAGTAATCTGCATCTCGTGCTGTCCTTGTATGGTGGAGCCGTCAATATCCGCATGGTGCGCTTTTTTGGCCACTTGGACGTGTTTTCTGTGAAATAGTTGTGCGGTAGACTTGTGGGTGCATTGCTACTACTAGTAGTATCCATCTCTTTGCAGCAGCGATTAAATTATCCTCTGCTAGAAGTACGTATACATCTACTAGTACTTAGTACCCTAGAGCCGGTCGTGGGAAGCGGCTAGGCAAAGAAAGCACCAGGTGTTACTGTTGCGACCATGAAGGCGATAAAACCCTACCTTTTGGGTGTACCCCTACCTGCCATGTCTTCCATCTCCGCCCATCTTCTCTCACGGTCAGCCTCGGGCCGGCCGCTCGGCTTCACAAGACTCTCCAGTTTCATTAGCTCCATCAGCCACCTGACAGATGCGGAAAGTCAGCTGTACTTTGAACACCTCGATGCCAAATCCCGGCTACGGGCCCAGCAGCCCCCCTGCCGTATCTCTCAGGGACGACCGGCGCCTCGTTTTCTCCGACCACAAATCCATGACCCACGATCCTCGAGCTGGGTAGCGCTTGAGAAAACCAAAGTTCAAGAAGGGTTGGGACGGGGCAAGCTTCTTAAGGTTGTATCGGGGAACATCGAGTGCTTCGGGCCCGGCCCAGCAGCTCGCGCTTCCGCAGCGCTAGGTCATCTCACGGGACTGTTTGGGGAAGAACCGGGACCTCTTGTTGTCATGCTCCAAGAAGTCCAGCGTGAATCGCTCCAAGCCATCATGGACAACTCCTGGGTACAACGGAATTTCGTCCTCTCCAATGTCGAACCTCCGGAATCAATCTACACCGATACTGCAGGGGATTCCTTTGTCTTGAGAGACATTGAATGGGGCGCTCACCCATATTTCACTCTCATGATGACGCCGAGGCATCTGGCAATAACGAGTTGCTTCCGGGTTCCATTTGTCACGAAGATGGGAAGGGATGCTCTTGTTGTTGATATTCCTGTATTCAGCCCTGGCAGATGTACCCAGCTGAAGGAATCCTTCCGCCTTTGCACGACGCATCTGGAGTCACTTTGGGAAGGAAGAGTCTACCGTCCTGGTCAGTTGGCCCTGATCTCAGCGTTGCTGAAAGGGGCACCTGCCACAGAGTCCAAGATAACTGCAGGCCTTGTAGGGGGGGATATGAATGCGATTGATAAATCAGAACACCTCTTCCACAAGCGTCTGGGAGGACGTGCCGGCACCACCCATCCCTGTTTTCAAGCCGTTCCAGAAAGACCTCTCTTATGGCCAAGCTAGAGGAAATACATGGAGCCACCAGTCGAAAAGCAGCCGGGAACGGAAGCGTATGGACAAGTTCTTCTACACGGGTTCGCTCGAAACAGTCGCCATCCATGAGGCTCAAGATATCACTGGCAGGTTAGGACGACTCGGTATCAGCCTGAAAACGGAGGTGGAGGCTTGGGAGTTCGAGTACAAGAGATTTAAGAAATCGTCCCTCAGACGGGGAAAGTATGTGGAAGAGCCACACAAGATATACTTTTCTGAGAGCGCCGTAGCAAAGTTCCGAGATGAAGAACAACTCGTAAGAAGGGAATTGGTTCACACGAAAATCAATGCCTGGGTCAGCGATCACTTTGGAATTGCAGTCGGCATCAAGGTCCTTTGAACTTGTCAAGTTGTCCAATCACCCAGGTCGTGATATCAATGGCACAGCTCGGTGCTAGCAATGGGTACAGGCAACTCAACTGGAGAATGTTGACATTGATCAAATGTAACACAAATCAATATACGATCATCAGACTGTTCCACAGCAGAGAATCCCTCCGATGTAGCCTAGCGCAAGAAGCGGGCTTGTCTGGTCAGTCGGGATATCGTCTGGAAGTCAAGTGAACTCCAATGGAGGGTGGTTATGACACTGCCTCAAGCTCAAGAGGAGTCCTGAATTATCGTAAGACCCCCAGCTAATCGTTTTTATTCATCGAGCGAGAGATCTTTGGTTGCGGCTCCTAATCCCCCAATCAGTTTCAGTGTTTCTCCTCTAGAGCAAACTGGGGAATCATCATGGCTAGCAGACGGGCGAGTAGTTTTATGCCTTATCATGAAAATTTTCTTTTCTCCGCTTCTGTGGGTGGCAGGATGGAATTTCTGCTGACCGAGACTTAGAAGTCTCGGTCTCACTTTCCCACGCTAGTGTATGGGACTGAGTCGGAGGGCTGTCCGATAATTCATCTTCCAGGGCCCATGGTTTCAGTGTGTCTGCATCCCAATTGAGTGACGTGCTTTCCGTGGTCGCCGAGCTTGAGCATTGAGTGTGAAAGATCCCCGTCGACCGTCCGTAACCAGATAATGGAGTCCACTACCCGGGTCTGCAATCCCTCGAGCCAAACGGAGTTGCACTTGGTTGTTTCCGTCGTCTTGAAATAGACCTGGCACTATTCTTGTCATATTTTATCCCTCGTGCGGGCAATGGCGCCCTATTAGCATCAGAACGAAAACAAGATAGAGGATGTCCTCCGAGATTTATGTCGACCAATGGTGTTCACATCAAACCGACGAACATCGTCCTTGTTTCCGAGATTGCCAAGGTAGAAAGTTGTCCAGAAAAGCTTGCTAATCCGAAGTTCGGCCAGATAATTGAAGCGCCAGCCAACCTCCGAGCGGAGAAGATATCTCCGAGCGCTCCATGAGGACCTGGAGAGTCCCTTCGGTTTCTATGTCGATAACTCGTACCAACCAGCACGAAATGGGATAGTAGGCTACCTTCTTGTCAGACGCTAATTCTACGCGTTACCTCTGCGTTTTGCCTGCTTTTGATTGGTCAATTTCTGCCGCAATTCGCTGCTAATTTCGCTGCAATTTGTACTTATTTCTGCGCGCCCTGCGCCACTTTTGAGAGAGAACAGAGCCATTTCTTCTAGCTGTTTGACACTTCTCAACCTGAGCTTTTCACCTCCAAAAGCTTTGTCAGTCGTGTCGGGAACACCAGCCACCCATGATGGAAAGAGATATGATCAGAAAAGAGATGGAAGGATTGCTGGAGAAGTTTTGTTGTATAATAAAAATCTGTAGAGACGTAGGTATCCGAGAGAAGTCGAGGGGGGGGCAAGAAGATGAATCACGAGAAATCTACGCTTCACAGAACTTCAACTGCCATTATGCACGGTGATGGAGGAACGATGCATTTCTGCATCACATCTATCCCAAGAGCAGACTCAGATCAACAGCATGCATAATGCCTCATCTGTTCAAAATTGATGCCAGGCTGGAGGAGAAGTACATGTCAAACACTGGCAGCAGATGTACTGTTGCAATGCCACCATCCAGAGGGTCCGCCAAGACTCTTTGGTGCCTATCCATGAGGAACTCCAGTTGCACACTGCTCACTGCTCACTGCTCGTCAATAATTCAACCCACCGTCATCATACCCAGAACCCGAACGAGGCCAGTGACACAGTTGTAGCAACTCTAAAGCATTCACAGAGAGTAAACACAAAAGCCGAAAATATGCTTGCCATACTTGTCGGCGTGGCCAGTGCCGTGGTCTGTAGCCTGCTGGCATATTCAAATAATTAACAGAGTGCTGAATTATGCTATCTGTCTATCCAGATTGCCACTGGACTCACCATCCTCGCGATCTACGCAAGTGTACTCGCTAGCCACTTCTCTCTACCCACACCGGCTCTCGGACACATTCTATCGATTTTACTACCGATCTCCGCCTTGTTTGGCACCTATTTCCCAGGGTACCTTAAAAAGCACTTCATCGCACGCCAGCAACCAGCCGTCTTATCCACCCTGAGCCTCCTTGACACCGTCCTCGTCACACTCGCATCCACACTCCTACAGCCAAACTTGCTGTCGTGCGAGCTCGAGCACCGCTGGCGCACAATGTTCCAGCATCACAACGCAAACGCCATCAGAGGCATCCAAGATGCTTTGGAGTGCTGTGGCCTGCGAACTCCCCTGGATCAGCCCTGGCCTTTCCCAGACCATCACGGAGCAGCGGCTTGCAAAACAAACTTTGGGAGGGAGAGGAGTTGTGAGGCGCTGTGGAGGGGCAAAGAGAAACAAGTTTTGGCAATTTGGATAGTGGTAGGGGCTTTAAGCTTGGCAACTAAGGTAAGGACTCGAGACCGAAGTAGGTACACAGGATGCTCACCGTTCTAGGCCATGTTCGTGCTCTTGCAGAGGAACAGGCCCGGGTGGTTCCAAGACGAGAGTGCCAGACGTCGGGAGTACCCTCAGGGCAGAGTCATCGAGCATACCGACGAGCAAGTTAGTAGCGGAAGGTATCTGGATCAGCCGAGCGAGGAGACCCCCCTTCGCTCGGCTGAGACTGATGTTGAGAATGAGCAGACCCGCTGACTGACGGTTGGTACTCCACGGCGAGGCGTGGGACGTTGATGAAGGTTCTAAAATTGATGAAACATGGAACTCAGTCCAAGAATGGTAATCGGGAGCATGTAGGTGGAGGGAAACTTTCTCTCAAGACGCATGGGCCCTGTAGCAATGATTTAGCGAAAAGCACCATGTCCGCCCATGCATATCCTATCTTCCCATCCCAAGTAGTCGCACTGTTGGCACAAACCATTGGAAATGCTGGAATAGACGGCCACGGATCTTACTGGTGGTGAAGTTGAAAATAGACAGAAGTCCAGCATCCTGCAGCTAAAGGTATACTAATTTAGTTGAAGATTCTAGCTTGGAGCATGTCTGGGAATGACGTCGCAGTTAAAATCTGGTCCGCTCACGCGTTTTTAGGCGCTGCCTTAGCCCCTCAAAGGATGCAGCACTTAGCAGAAAGTGCGCTTAGATCAAGCCTAACTACAAGATTGCTTAGAGTGTACCATGATATACAACTTAGTCGTCTGTGATTCAATAAATCTTATTTACTAGAATGTATTTTGCTGAAAATATGGTCATAAAATGGTCAACATATCTTTAGCTACCCCTTCTCCTGGTAAGTAATCAAGCACACCCTGTTTGAGGCCTATTCTCGTTTCACCGTGGAGTTAGTCAAACACATAAATCCCGAACGTCCGGTGCTACAGAGCAGTCGGTAGCGATAAGCCAACGTACATAACTCCGTATTTATTCATCTATCTTCGTCGAGGCACATACCATCAAACACGGCTTCGATGCCAAGACTCCTTTCGGAGAACACCCTCTTGCTCTTAAAACACTTTCGCCGAAATAGTTCCACTCCTTTTGATGTCCTCTTTAATTGTTTATCTTCACATAACATCGCCTCTGTTTCTTGCATCTTATCATTCTGTCTGCATTCTAACCATTCGAAGCGTTGCCCCGGGTGCAAATCAATCACAGCTTAAACTATTCCAACAAGTTTACGAAGTCATTAACATGGCATCAAAGACTCACTCATTGCCTTCACGTACAGAAGGAGGCTTCAAAGGCCCTCAGAAGCCCTCTCTTAGTCGACAGCTTGCGGGTTTGGCAGTGTCAGGCACCGAGCGCCATTCTCAGGGTCGTCACAGAAGTGCAAATCAACCGCAGACCGTAAATTCCCTGAGGTCGCAACCGACCAGATTGTCGCAGCTCCATGAAAAGCCAACGTCATCGCGCAACAATATTCCAGAAAGCCCATTCAACAGTCGGGCAGCGGTCCGCGGATGCTCTCTCACAGTATCGTCAATCCTGCCAAGGAGAAATGTCAGTGCAGCAAGCAGTTTCCCAGACAGCATAGAGCTAGAATGGCTATCTTCAATGAACCGTGGAGATAGCGATCTCTTCATCCAAGTCAATTCAGAGCTTTTGATTACTCCCAATAGCATTTCCACCAAGGACTTTGAGCAGACTTTTATCAATACCCACAACGGTGAAGTGTCAACCATTCATCCCAGGATGCGCCTCCGAAATTTTGGAGAGACGGATGATCCCGATTCTTGGGAACTTATCCCATTGGAAGCTGAAAATCGCCAGCCTTCCCTTGCAGCACCGTGTAAGTAAGCTTCGCCCCTGTGGATTACTCCAAAGGCCGTGCATTGTGACTCTGCTGACCCACAATGCTTCCAGGCAAGTATTTGCTAAGAACGCCCTATTTCAACCCCTCCGAACCTTGGAAGGAGTGGTACAGGGCCACTTGGGGTTATTTTGGCAAATATTATATCGTTGATGGATTCAACGGAATCTTTCCGCCTCTGTCAATTGCTGTCTCGACCAATAAGAGAGCACTTGATTTCAAGCGAATCGTACAAGCTCTTATCCATTTCAACCAGCTCTGGCCGAGAGTCTTTGGCGACGATAATAAAGACCCCAAGCAGGCCGAACCTCAGATTTGCGTGACACGCTCATACATCTCCTATCATCCCGATTATTGGTGTGCTGTTCCATTCAACGGGAGCGTGTTTTTCAACATTAGACGAGAATCGGAGGTGGGTGAACGATCGACCGTCTGGATTCAATTTGTTCTTGCTTTCGTTCGGGCCGCCGTCGCAAGTCCGTCCCTGGCACTCATTGAAAGTTACCCAGTAACTCTGGTCGGTCTCAACGACTTCAAGAACAGGGGTTCTCCTCGACCGGATGGAGAGCCGCCACTTCCATTCTTATTGTAGAAGAAAACCTTACCAAACTCATGGGAACCTCTTGGTGTTTCCGGTTTAGTTTGAGCTGTTTCAAGGTCATTCTTCTGCATGAGAGAGGCGCCAGTGTGACACCTGGCAGAAAGTGACCATGGGTGCTGAAGGCCGCGTGGGAAATCCACGATCACGCTCGTTACAGATACACCACAATAGATGCATACAGCAATCAGTGGATGTCCGCTGGGGAGAAGAGAATGTATGTTTTCGCGCTGAGCGTCATTCTTTAGGACTGAGGCTGAAACGGTCCATGCGAGTGATGGCATATATATTCTGGTATGTTGAAACAAGAGGAAATCATTGAAATATAGACCAATAAGTCATTTACTCTTGTACTATCCCCTCCGTACCCAATGTGCCAATTAGCGTAAAATTTTCAAATTAAGGTTTTTAAGCCGCATTCGATCTACACAACGCTCCGCAGCTGACTTTGCTCTTGAGATTTCAACCACGAAATATGCTACGACCACAGCGAAATACCCAGATCCCTCTGAGATATAGATCGAGCTCACCTCCGCGATTCGAACAAGTTACTAAACGGTCAAAACGAAGCAGAATTGACCCGTCTGCAATCGATCGAAATGATGTCGATCAGGCCTTGGCAGTGATCGCTCCAGCGCCAGAATGTACAGATGAACTGCCTACATTCATACCAACAGAACTGCCTCAATTTGAGGCTAATTACGTTCTAAATCGAACAGGAGCTTCTCAATACTCTAATCTATCAGAATTAGGCTTTTTTGAGCTCTTCTTTAGCCCAGTTGTGGTGGAAATCCTCTCTGAAGAAACCAATTTGTACGCCAAAATCTATATTCATCTTAAAGGGCGTTGGATACCTACTACACCCGCCGAAATACGTATATATCTGGGCATACATCTTCATTTTGGCTTATATCAATTAGCTGTACGTAGTGATTATTAGAAGATGCATAAACTGGGTCAATTTATGGGTCGAAATCGATTTCAGCAAATCCATTATTATTTCAGTATGAATTCTGCTCCTACACAGCCAAATGCGCCTTAGTTCTATCGAATTTAACGCGTTACAGACCTTATTCGAATAGCCTGCCGAAATGCTTACATACCCTCCTCTTATATTACAATTAACGAAGCAATAGTGGCTTTTGAGGGGCGTTTAAATCATACAGTTAAGCTCAAGAATAAGCTAATTACTGACGGTTACAAGCTATAGTATATTAGCGACTATAAATATATCTAGAGCTGGCTATTTCATTCAAGAGTTAATGGCATTAAATCATTCACAAAAGGTCAACAAACACAGTGGCCACAGCAACAGGGCACAGGAGCAGATTTGGATACTGAAAAAAGCGCTCTTCTTGCCCCTACTTACGCACTTGTTTTACGACTTGCTACGCAGCTACCAAAGCTGAAATTCTGCATCTATCTAGATAATCTCTTTCTGAATATACTAGTAGCTCAGTGCCTCTTAGCGATGGGTATTTACTGCATAAGAACTACCTGAAAAAAGGCTACTAGTATGCCCTTACAAATTCAACGCTATCTTAACAATAATAGCGAGCTTCTCTGGGATTCTATAATAATACAAGTCATTAATAATAATACATTAGCCTTTGTTTGGCAAGATAATAAGGCTGTTTATGCTCTTAAAACTGCTTATCCCCTCCGTACCCAAGATGTGTCAATTAGCGCCTTGGCATAAATTCAGTACCCATAAGGTGCCCGGAAAGGTACCTAATATATGCCAAGGCGCTAATTGACACATCTTGGGTACGGAGGGGATAGCCTCTATTGCACAGAAGATCAAATTCAACGAACGCGTAGATGCCCAAAAATCTCCTCTGAAAATCAATGTATCCTTGACCCTGTATTTAAGGGCTTACCCTTTAAGGATCTCTTTATACTAAGGGCTATTGATGATTATAACCACTATATAAAGGGTATAGATCAAGCGGATCAGCTACGCGCAGCATTTACTTGTCATCGCAAGCAGAATTATCGTACGCAGATGCCTTTAATCTACTTCCTTATCAACGTTGCCTGTGTCAACGCGTATTTACTATAGCTATAGAGTTCTGCAACGCATACAGCAAACGCTAAACGAACGCACAGCACTCATAGAGATTTCGTAGAGGCCCTCTGCTCTCAATTACTACATTCGGATAAGAAAACCAAGGAGAAAGAAGAATCAGATCTTATACCCCCTATAGTGCTTCAAAGACACCATAAGCACATACAAAAGAAGTCCTCTGGCCGGTGTCAATAGGGAAAGCTTCATCCGCCAGGTTGTATACGTAAAAGGGCACCTAAACGCGCATTTGGAACAGATATCACACGCTCTGTCAATAATAGCGTTTCTACAGCTATTTCAGGAGGCTCAAGGACCCATTATGAGTGCTCAAAGTGCCAGATTTGGCTCTGTATCGAAGGAGACTGCTGGGCATAGTATCACCACTCAATTGGAGTCAATTGCTAGATAGTACGGCCTCAAATAGCTCAAATAGGGTGTTTGTTGACATTTAGATCCTCCCCGCAGTGATCGACAGCGCTAATTGATCCATTCTACACCCCTGTCTGGGTACGGAGGGGATACATGTAAATACGCACTCTGCGCACTCATTTATATTAAATAGGCTGCTACATGGTCCGAGCCGGTCCGAGCCCTAAGGGGGGGGTCGAGCTCAGACCAGTTCGGTCCGGGCCCTGGAAAATGGGGGCTCAGACCGACTCTTAGCCAACCCTTGGCACAGATCCACTCGTTCATGGACTACTTAGTACTAGTAGTTAAAAAATCCTAGAATCCGGCTCGGATGCCGCATTTTTCCGAATCTGGTTCCGAGCTAAACTTTGTCGGAGCGATCCAGCTTCGAGAGCTTGAAGCACCGCAAGCCTTGAAGATAAGTATCGCAAGCTCTGCACGTTTCGCACCCTCAGGATGCACTTCTCTACCCCGACAATCATGGCATCCCTAGCCAGTGCATTTCAAATTCCAATCAGCGCAACTCGACAGGCCACCATATCGTCCGCATGCCGAAGCGTGTTGTTGAAAAGCAGAACACCATCCTCCTGCATTGCTGCGGCGCGAACAGCACCTTTCTCATCCACAACATGTCAGCTGGCACGCAAGAAGGCGGCCCCGAAAAAGGATAGACGAGTCAGTGAGTCCATCTCAAATCCTTTGTTGCTCATAATTCCTAGCAGCATAACGTAACCTTTCTCAATCAATCATCCTTAAATACTAACTTTTCACCTCTACTACTACCACAGCCATGATACGCTATTTCCTCAACCACCCCATGAACCTAACTCCCCGGCCCCTACGTTTCTCCCGTAACCGCTCCCTCCGCCATTGGACCATTCACCGTGCCTGGCAGCTCTACACCCACAAGCTCAAAGCTCAACGCCAAGCCTCTCTCCAATTACAATACAATGCCATGCGTGATGCGTGCGAGGAGTTGAGGGTTGGCGCGGGCGATGGGGGCAGACTTTTTAGGAAGGCGATGATGAAGACGGGTGTATTCGGATTAAATGGTGTGCCGATGGAGTATACTAGGGGAATGATGGAATACGTGGGGGGTGCAAGCGGGGATGGGACAGGGACGGGAACGGGAGCCAGGATTTGGAATTCCGGCTGGACGCGGTGAGTAGGAGAGGATGTGCTAGAGCTTGGATATTTTGAGGTAATTTGGAGCTGCGGAAAGGTTTATATCAAAAGGTCCTATGGAAAGGATGAGCAGAACGGCCGCGGGATATCGCGCAAGGTAACCAGGCCAATGAAGGCTTTATACCGGCGGAAGAATGTACATAATTGAAGAATGAAGACTTGCATGCCGCTGTACATCTGTTGGGGATGATTGAAGATTGGAGTTTCGATAGAGCTGCAACCCCTTACCCATATGAAAGTTCCAACACTTGACGGAGGGGTCTTACCGACGACCCATTGAGCCGGCCTTACCTTGCAAGGTCCATGACAGCGACACCGATATGGCCTCGAACATATATGGTGAGGACGATAGTCGCAAGAGAATGTGGGCATCATTGGTCATTGCTTGAAATCATGTCAGAGTCACTTGTTGACTGCGTGTTCTGGTTGTCCGCCTCCTCAAACCCTCTCCACCAACTCCCGTCTCAGACGCTCCCTGCAATGCAACGCCACAAAAACCGGAGAAGAAAGCCGTTGAAGATGGAAGTTGGTTGAACACGGGGATTATCGCATTATAAGATCACACAGCAACCACCTCCAGAACCGTTGCCCTTGTCGAACTTCAGGAGGGCTGCTCTCGTTGCTGCTTCAAACACATCATCCACTCCCTCACCTGTCAGACTCGAGCATTCCAAGTACTTCCTGGCTCCACACATCTGAGCCATGTTCTCTCCATCTTTTGCCGAGACAAATTTCTGGCTCTTCTTCCTCATCTCCTCCACAGCAAGCGGATCTTCCCTTAGATCTTTCTTCAGACCGACCAGTATGATAGGAATATCGGGACATCGTTCTCTGGCTTCTTCTACCCACTTATGCTGCACATTCTCCAATGAATCCGGACTATCGACTGAGAAGCCAATCAAGATGACGTGAGCTCTCGAATATGCAAGCGGTCGTAGTCTTTCGTAATCTTCTTGGCCAGCCGTATCCCACAGAGCCAGCTGCACGCTTCGCCCGTCCACGCGACAATCTGTTACGTAGTTCTCGAATACTGTTGGGACGTAATGGGTAGGGAAATATCCCAGCGTGAACACAGAGAGCAGGGAGGTTTTCCCACAAGCACCGTCGCCGATGATGACGAGCTTCCTATGCAGATGGTTGGCTCCGGCGCAAAGCAGGCATATCGAGGAGGGCTCACCTTCTCATCACATCCTGCGACATATTTGCAGGATTCTATGCCTTGAGCGGATAGGCAGATTGGGCGAGTTCGAAGCAACGGCAAATTAGTCCTTTTCTTGAGCCACCTTCGCCGGCACCAGGAACGAAAGGGTTCCTCGGCAAGCAATTGGTTGGGTGTGGCTGCTTGGTCACAACAAAGGGCCAATTATCAGGAATGGAAGACTTGATCCAGGATTTATGGATAACGTGGCCAGAGCAGGGAGATTCTTGTCGCCGATAGTGTCACAACGCAACAGAGATGATTTGCGTTGGGGCTTTGTGGAAAGGGTTGCTGAGAGAGTCGAGTTGTGGAGCGGGCTGGGGAGTGGTTGGTGGAACCTCAGCTGCTGATGTATGCCGAAGCGAAGCAATACGCAATGCACATAAAATGGCACTCCGCAGGCAGAGGGGAAAACTTGGGGTCAGCGTTGTAGCGACATCCGCATTAAATACGAGAATAGAGATAGTATGTGCCTGAGAGATTAGTATACAAGGAGTAAAGGTCTACGGGGCAAAGGAAGAGTGGGAGGAGGTGTAGGATTAGGAATAGGAATTGCACCTGTAGCTGGAGGCGTGAAGGACTACAATGGAAGCGGGAATTCCTGCCAAGCACAAAGAAGTACCGATACTGCCCGCTGTAGCACATTGCCTGTAGTACGCTGCATGCTTTCACCGTTGACGACTCCTGCCTTGAACAAACCAACCCCTCCATGGCACTACCCTCTGTCATAATCTACCCTGTTCTCCACTCGTCTACCCCGGCCTGGAGCCAACAGTTTCTCTAAAGGCGTTCATCCATACGACATGAAAGAAAACACCTACATCAGCCGCAAGGAATAGAAACCTGTCCCCCAAGGGGCCTTACCAGCTTCGCGAAAGCCCAGTCTTACTGCACCGAGTGACATTGCAATGCCGGCGAAAACAAAGAAGGTGGCCAATGCCCCTTCAACATCCTCAAAACCCCATCCTTCCTCTAATCTGAATCCCTCTCAACCGAACTCTAAGCCTGCCCCACCTTCGGGCGTCTCAGGCAAGAGTCAGAACGGCCCTTCTGGGCAGGGTCTTCAGAGCACGAAGCCGAGTGAGGCAGTGGAGCCACCGAGCAGGAGTTCTGACAACTCAGCGAGCCTGCCAACAGTCAACCGGAAGAAGCAAAAGCGGAGGGAGAAGGAAGCTGCCAAGAGGGCGGCGGAACAACAGGCCGAGAACGAGAGTCTGGCTCAAAACGGCTATGCTCCAACCATTCGAGGATCGGCTAGAGGCTATTTCAGGGAGGAAACCGAAGACTTCCACCACGGCTACGTCGATGAAGCTGTTGATGGAGACGACGCATTTTATAGCGGAGCTGAGGAAGCAGGCTACGGACCAGACGACGTGTTGCGCGATGGATTGGAGCAGATGGAGCAAGTTGCCAACGGCCTGACTGGTAAGAAGAAGAAAAAGAGCAAGAAAGCTGGTCAAATGCCAGGGTTGTCTCAGAACTACGCAGTGGACACGTCCTCGATACTGAGAAAGACTACACCCTTAGCAAGGCCACATCTGGCCCCGACCCCCTCACTCTCTGCTGCCGCCCTCCGGTCCGCTCACCAAAACTTTACGCATGATCAGATATGGAACACTTCTACGCAAGCAGAACGAGAGAACATAAAGCAGTTCTGGTTGGAGCTCGGAGAAGAAGAAAGACGCTCGCTGGTGAAGGTGGAGAAGGAGGCAGTGCTTCGCAAGATGAAAGAGCAGCAAAAGCATTCTTGCAGTTGCACCGTCTGTGGAAGGAAGAGGACAGCCATCGAGGAAGAGCTTGAAGTGCTCTATGATGCATATTACGAGGAACTCGAGCAATTCGCAAACCATAACAACGGTCTCTCAAACGGTGCGGCCATCATGTCCGATCCACGTGCGTACGGTCATTTGCGGACACCAAGACATCCAATGGCCGGTCAGTTTCCGATTGAAACGACTGGTCACGGTTCGATAGAGGAGGACGAAGGCCTCGACGACGAGGAATATGACGATGACGAAGAACCGTACAGTGACGAGGATATCGAAGAAATCCCTCGGGGACCTCCGGACTTCTTTACGTTTGGCAATAGTCTGACCGTGAAAGGTAAGCCGCTAAAGGTTAAAAGGGACTTCTTTGCTGACTCGACCAGATGGAATCCTGACCGTAGCAGACGATCTGTTGAAGAACGATGGCAAGCATTTCATCGACATGATGGAGTCTTTGGCTGAAAAGCGAATGCAACGTGAGGAAAATGTTCATTTCCCCTCGGCTGCTGTAGCTCACCAAACTTCTCATCAAGGTCACAATCATCCTCCACTCGACGAAGATGATGACTTCGATGACGACGAGGATGATGAAGATTTCGATAGCCAGGACGAAGATGACCTCGAAGGAGATGAGATGGTTAATGCCCTGTCCAAAGACTACAGATTGTTTGACTGACGTTCTGCAGGATGCTATGACCGAGGAGCAGCGGATGGAGGAAGGCCGAAGGATGTTTCAAATATTTGCAGCGCGGATGTTTGAGCAGCGAGTCCTGACTGCCTATAGAGAAAAGGTTGCTAGAGAACGGCAACGAAAGCTCATAGAGGAGCTGGAAGAAGAGAACCGACTGGACACTCAGCGTGAAGCGAAGAAAGCCAAGGAGGCAGCTAAAAAGAAAGAAAGGAAGAAGATGCAGAAGCAGGCCAAGGACGAGGAGAAGGCCAAGAAAGAGGCTGAGAAGGCCGCCCAAGAAGCTGCTGCTCGAGCCTTAGAAGAGCGGAAACTGGAGGAGCAACGGCAACGGAAGGAAGAACAGCGCAAAAAGCGTGAAACCGAGAAGAAAGCTGCCGAAGAAGAACGTCTGAGAAAGGAAATCGAGAAGCAGAGAAAGGTGCAAGAAGAGCGTGAGCGTCAACAAGAACTAGAGCGCAAGCAGAGGGAGGCAAAGGAGAAGGAGAAGAAGAAACGGGAAGAGGCGCGGAAAAGGGAGCGAGAGGAGAAAGAGGCCAAGGAGCGAGAAGCCCGAGAACGGAGGGTGAAGGAGGAACAGGAACGAAAGGCACAGGAAGCACAAGCTAAGAAGGATAAAGCAGCAGCAGCATCAGCAGAGAAAGAAGCGAGAGATCGGGCCAAACAGGAGGAACAAGCACGGCAGAACGCGAAGAGACCGCCTATAGCTGTACCTCCTGGAATCCATGCTGCTCATCCTCCTATACAATCTCCTCAATTCCAGGTGGCAACCCCCATTGTGCCGGCGAAAGCACCTACTCCAGCTCGTCCTCGCCAAACCTCGCAGCAAGGTCCACAGTCACACAGCTCCTCACCCCGATCACAACAGGCCGCAACCACCGAGACCACTCTTTCTTCGACACCTTCATCCATCAGCATCGCTATACCGAATCCATCAGCCTATACCAACGCTCCAGGAAAGCAGCAAAGCCAAGGCCCACCGCTGCACCATCCACAACCCTCAGCTCCGTTGTCTCCTCTCAGCACCCAGAATCGTTCTGGTCACCCTCCCCACGGCTACACTGGTATGCCTGGTCCTTCTACCAACGGTACTGTTCCTACGGGTCTAGGGATGTTGCCAGGCACAATGCCACCCATGCCCATCTTTCAAGGCCCGCCCGTGGGAGGACCGCACCGAGGCTATGGACCGCCGAACGGCATGCCCTTCCCGCCTGGCATGAATGGCAATCGACAGTTTGCTCAAGGACCGAGCGGCCATTTCCCACCTCAGCCGTCCATGGGCCCGCCTGTACCTAACCCCCCGAAACAGCCAGCAAAACCCCAAACACATTCAAGACAGCAGTCCACCTCGCACGACAGCACAAACGAATATGCGCATCAACTCACTCCAATCTCTCGTCCTGCCCCGACAGGTCAATCGCCGAATTCGACCCCCGACAAGAAAGAGAACCGCAAAGTTTCCGATCCAGAAGTCGAGCATCTTGCTACACAACTGGGCAGTAAAGCTCTACTCGACGACTCGGACATACCTCTCAACACGAGCAACTCTGATCACTTGTCCTTGTCAGGCGCTCCTGGGTCCGGAAGAGCTCCGTTCAGTAACTTTCTCGATGCTAAGCATGATGCGTTTCAGCCAGGCCACTGGGGGGGTTTTAGCCCCAACGGCAATTTCGCCGGGCCGCCAAATTGGGGTGCACCGGGCCTTACTCCCAAGCAAAGCGGAGGATGGCCATCACATCACCAACCTAGCACAAATGCCTTTGGTATTATCGGTGGAGGTGTACATGCCAGCCATCGCCCGCATGCCTCTCGGCCTGTGGCGATTCGGCTTATGGTAGCTGAAGCGTGCAAGAAGCTTTCGGCAACGCCTGGAACCTCCGCCGATGGCTTTCACCCGGCCAAGTTCTTGCTGCGTCAGGTAGAGCAGATGAAGCCACCACATGAGCCAGTGATTACGCTCAACGAGATGCTAGAGATCTGTGACACGGAAGGCAATGGCCAAAATGGCGGTGGCAGCTTCATTGTGCGGAAAGACAGCTTCCAGGGCCAGAGCGTGAGGTTCGAGCCCAGTAGCGGAACCAGCAACCACAGAGCTGTGGGAGATATTGGCAGTCCAGTGGTCGCCCACAGTCAGCTTGCCACATTTGGTGGCATCGGTCAGCCCATCGGCGGAGCTAGCAAGGGTCACTGAAAGTGCAATAGTATCTGTGTTTGAGTGTCCACGATCCGAAGCGGTCAACACGATCTTGTCGTCTGCCAAACCTTTATGCCTTATTCAGCATATCTTTCTCGGTGTATTTGGGTGATGCACTGAGCTGCATTGACTTCTTCGCCCTGCTGGTCTGAAACCAAGGGCCTTTCTGTTCAATTAGTGAATCGAGTCCACAGCTCACATCCTCTAGCTTAGAACTAAAGATGTGAGCACTTTAATCAGATGAGTCGTGTCCATCAGGAAGCTCAACGGTGCCAAAAACCCTCCCAGCCGGGTGACTGTCTTCGCTTGAAGGGAGGATCGCGCTTTTTGCATCACCCCCGGCCCCTTCCCCTAACCGACCCGACCCCTCTTCCTATACCACTGGTTGTTCGTCGAGACGTTGTAGAAGAACCCCTTGGCATCCCTCGTCCGCTTCCCCTTCCTCGTCCACCTTCAGACACATAGCTCGTATTATCGGCTGTCTGATAAATCCCCCCTGCTGCCCCACTACCCCGGCTCCCCACACCCCTTCCTCTCCCTCTTGCACCACTCCTCGGCAACTTTGCAGCTGCACTCTCGGCTCTCCTCCTCTCGTCAGCCTCGGCCTTTCTCGCTGCCTCCGCTCTACGCTCCTGCTCTTCACACTCTCTCCGCTCCGCAGCCTGCTGTTTAAGCAGGGTCTCTTGCTCGGAGTCAGCGAGATCTTGGCTGGATCCATGCCAGGACGGGTTAAGGATCAGACGCTGGTTGTGCTCGGTCTGTGAGAGAATGGCGGTCCAGGTTTGCAGGAGAGACGAGGCGGAGTGGACTGTGGTGGAGATGGTCTGGTGGAGAGGCTGTCAGATCCTAGTGTCCATTCAATATGCTGATGACGCACCTTCATGCTATTTCGTGCTTTGGCTAGACTCTCAATGGCTCCTTCGATCGCCTCGTTGACTTTGCGCACGGTTTGGAGTTCTTGCCGCAGCCCTTCTTCTCGTGCATCCTGCTTCTCCTGAGGTGTCTCCCTGTTACGCGGTTGTGCATTCTTTTGTGACGAGTGGGGTACGAGCCTAGGCTTTGAGGGTGAGGCCCCTAGGTCGTCGTCTATGTCTAACTCATCCTGGGCCATTGTTGCAGGTGACTAATAGAACGAGACCATCAATAGAATCAGATTCATTGTTGAGCACTATGCACTAGTATTCTGGAAGCGCGGTCTAGACGCGCGGGAGTTGAAGGGCTTGGCGTGGTAAACACCGGCCGCGTTACTGTACTAAGTACGTTAAGTGGATTACCAGCCACTAAACTTCCAAGTTCACATTTCACATTTCACTGACCTCACAGCGAGAGCTCGGTGAAGGCTGGGAAAGAAACGTCCACTTCCTCAAGGCTGTTGATATCCTTATTCTAACCACTGAGCTCCAGCCATCGCATCAGTATCTCGGACCTTGCAAACCATTTATTCTGCAAGTCGAGTAGCTGTTAAATCAAATCCCTTCTCTGGTTGGTGTTTATTACCTCACAAGCATTGTTTCGCAACTTGGACGTACTACGACAAGTCGTCGCGCAATAATTGTGCTATTGGCTGTCTCTAGTTTTCAGGTAGCGGTGCAGAGACACTCGCAACAATGACCACCACCCCTCCACTACGCATCATCTCTGTGCAGGAGCCTCCACCTACTCCACGACACGGTCCTGCCCACGATGATTTCGAACCGCGCTTTCCTACCCGATCTAGCCAGCGAATAGCATCGCGCGAGGCGAAGACAACACCAGAACCCCAATCTGGCTCCCGAGCTTTGCGTTCTGTGACAACACCAGAATCAAAACGATCAACCGCTCAGCAGTCTCGATATAACTTATCACCGCCAATATCCCCGCAAAAGTCCCCCAAACACAATTCAGCAAAACGTGTTCAAGTTCTCTCTCCAACCTCACCAAGCACTCGTACTCGGTCTCACGACGCTTTGTCTTCGAACCCCTCCTTTACTTCTACCTCAAGCCACCAACAAAGCTTTCTCAGCAGTTCTACAGTCATGTCCGACAGCATGCTTCCAACACCCGTCAAGACTCCACGTAAGAATAAGAAGGCAGCGTCAAACGTCAACCTGGCTGCGAGGATGCTTTTTCAGGAGCAGCCTACCGCTGGCGACGACATCATGCCCACACCAAAGAAGATCAGAAAGTCAACACGGCACAACGGTTTATCTCTGGGAAGCTTTGCTACTGCGGATGGTGCGGGAACCGATCATGTTCAGATCTTTACGGATTCAAGAGACAACGTTCCTGAACTTGACCGAAGTGAAGACAACCCTTTTGTGGAACATGCATCAGAGAAAGCTGGGCCGTCTGCTAAGCTGTTTAGTGGCACGTCCAAACGACGCAAGCTTAGCATCGAGCGGAAGAAAGACCCTCAGGTAGAAGAAGCCATCAAGAACGATGAAGGAATGGTCTATGTTTTGTAAGTCTTCAGATACTATCATCCTCACTTCTCACTGACTTGTATTACGAAGCCGCGGCAAGAAAGTGTTCAAGCGCTTTGATGACGGTTCAGAGGAGGAAGAAACCACCGTCGATCCGAATGATCTTGGGCTTTTGGAGCATAGTAGCGCTGATGCCGACACTCTCAAACTTCTCAAACCCATGACTCGGAAATCGATCAGACCAACGCGACTGTTCCAAACGGAGGAGCAGAAGCGCGCTCGGGAGGCTGAGAAGGCCGAAGAGGAAGTGACCGACATCGATGAGGAGCCAAGCGTTGGTGCTGCAGAGTCCTCCGCTTCCACTCAAGCTCCGAGCACAAATAAGAGACAGTCACGCAGGACTACAGCTACAAGTTCGACTGAAACACCTAAGGAGCATACACCCAACGACACTGAGCATCCCAAGGCTGAGGGCACTGGCGACGGCGAGTCTTCAGTTGTTGGAAAAACGAAGACAACTAAGAGGGGCAGTCCCTTCGATTCTTGGAAGCGGGTAAAGCCTGGATCTTCTGCCTCCACAGTTGCTGCTGGCAAGGGTCGGAAGAGGACATCTTCGGCCATGGAGGAGGGCGCGCTGTCAAGTGCTGGCAAGAAGGTGAAGAATCGCTAATTCAGGGAGTTGGTTCGGGGATGTGATTGGGGTTCTGTAGCATGCTCCTGGGGAGAAAGTGTCTACTGGTATATCTGGTCGGTTGGGCGCAGTGTCAGAATGGTCTCCAGCACTCAAATAGGCCTCTTAGCTACATACGATCGACAGGGTCATCACCACCACTCTGCTTGATTGAGATAACCAAGTCAGATCTGCGGCCAGCCAAGGGTTGGTATAGCCATCTATTGAACCTGACACTCCGTACCCTCATGCCACCTCAGTTGATGTACTACGTACTACGTATTTAGTACTCGTAGTATTCGAGTAGTAGCGGGAGAGCAGCAAGCGTGTCGCGTGTCACGTGAAGGGACCTTGGCCTAGCTTCTATGCTACTAGCTAGTTAGAACTGATTCTAGTTAGTTTGGTGCCCGATCGATGTCTGCGCCCAGTATCAGCTTCGACAAGGCCGTCGATTCGTCTGCTCGTCTTCTCGCTGTATCCTCGTCGCAACCTCAAAGAACGATCAATTGCCCATGAGAGAAAACACATCGTCCATCTCAGCACGGCTCGTCTTCTTAAATCCATAGTTCTTTGCAACAGTATCCGTCACCACAGGTCAAATGAGGCCGCTTAGATGAACTCATTTCCCTCCCCTCAACCCTTGACTACACCTGGCTCAGAAAACACCTCTGCTTCGAGAGCTGCTCGAGCGCAGCCGACCGCGTGGGGTCTATCCTCCCAACAGCCTCCTTCTCGCCGTGGCCTTGCACCTCTGTCCACGAACCTTACCTCCAATTCTGCACTGGGCCCATCCTTCCGTCGCGCAACAGCATCCAATAGCCCAGGCCCACATAACCCGCCAGCCTCGCCGCTCGGTACAACCTTTTCCTCTGTTCTGACCTCTTCCAACCGGCTCGGTGCTAGTCGCAATCCCTCTTCCGGCTCTTCTACCACTTCACCCTGGAGCCTCTTTCAAGCTGGCTCCCAACAGCCTTCCCCCTCACAACCTGGCCAATCTCTCACATCACCAAGATCGAGAACCCTCACATCCTCATCACATCTGGCGTCGAATACAAATTCGCTCAATTCCTCACAGGGGGGCGGTGGAGGTAGTGGAGGTGGAGGTCCGACAAGCACTTCTCGAGGAGGAGGAACATTTTCACCACCCTTATCAGGAACAAATATAAGTTCCCCCACAGGATTCGCTTCCGAGAAGCCCAACAACTTGGGGTCAGGGTCGGGCTCATCCGTCGCTGGTCAAGCGTCGCTGTCTAAGATATCGGTTGCCCAGGTGCTACTGCTTCTAGACTCCATTAGCGAAAAGGAAGGCAAACCGAAGTGGGACTCCAAAGCAGATCAAATTCGAAAGGTTTGTCTCTCCCCCTATGCAAAGACCCAGCTGCTCACAGTGACTCGCAGTTGGTTGATTCAAACGGCATGGATGTGTTCTCAAAGTATTTCCGTCGTCTTGTGTCTGGAAATGCCTCGCAGATCTTCCCCAGTTCCAGCACCAAAAGCTCTGAAAATGCAGGAAACTACCCCATACTGGTCGAGGAGATGCGCAAGGTCATTCGTGATCCCAGCCAAGCATTGAAAATTGCAGAGTCGATCGATGGCTCGGACGGCGATATCTTCCGCGATTTTGACCTCGTCACATTTGTGGACCACTTTAAACTCGATCCCATTGCTCAGAGTACCCTCGGGTTCGCGTTCCGAAGATGTGGTAGAAACGATCTGAGAACGAAAGGTGTGTACACATCGATATCAGACCAGGCGCAAAAACGAGATTTCTAATTCTATTACAAATAGCTGACAGCCTGCTTAAACAAACAAGCGCAACCGTTTTGCAAAGTCTTGCACGACCCCAAGATTCAAACAAAGATGCTAGTCTGGTTGTCATCCGACGATTAATCGAGAGCTTCGCCATCACCTCTCCTATCACCCTTAACGAAGAAGGAAAAATTGCTCTTGACTGGGCCGTAAGACAACGCTTTTCAGTGATGCAACAAGAAACTCCTGTAGAGGTCAACTCTGCCTTGCAGCTGTTGTGGATTTCAACTGAAGCTCAGGAGGTGGTGAAGAGGTTGCACCACAATGGAACAAGGAGTACAGCGTCTGTCGAGGCTGCTGAGGACCTTCTAACGTCGGTTGGCATCGAGAAACTGTCCGAGGCAGAGGTTTCGAGTGCTCTGTTGTATATAGCCTTCACCTCTGATTACCTTCACCACGACGCGGGCAACTTCCTCAGCGCCGTGAAGTCCAAGTTGAACAGCAGGAGCTTCACCTGGCAGCTTGTGCTTGAAGGGTTCGACCAAGGAGGCTATCGCGTCACCTCAGAGCAGTTCCTCTTCCTTTTCCGTGCCCTTCTACCTATCGCCCTGGAAGATGAGGCGATGGACCTACAACGCCTTTGGAGCGGCAAGTGGCAAGAAACAGATACACAACTGTCATTCCTGAAGGCATTTTTGTTCACATCAGCCGAGTCATTCTCCTTCTGGGAAGCACCACGTTATCGCCCAGCATATACTCTCGAACTTTTCGAAGGCGCCTCCGAGGAAGTATTGTTGCGGGCGCGCGCTGGCCTGATGAACCAATATTCCTCACTCGCAGCAGTCACGACTATCTTTGATTTAGCTTTGGTCGCAGATGATGTGTCGATCAGTGTACCAGACAGGGACGATATCATCGGCCATTTCATCCAGAACAACCTGGCTGTGTTCGTCGTGTCTGCGCTCAGCATACCACAGCCATGGACAAGCAATCAGACCCTCTTTCTTTTCAAATGCTTCCGGGTTTTCATGTTGAAGCAAAATAGTGACTACCCCTTCGCCCTTGAAGGCGCATGGCGGCAGAGCCCCGAGTGGGTCTTCCAGCAACTGCACCAGCTCTTTGTCTATGATCCAATGACGACCAACACAATCTTCGATCTTGCTCGGGAATTCGGCTGGATGGACTATCTGCTGAAATTCATGGTACCACTGTCACTTGATCTCGCATGCAGGCTTCATCGAGAATCAGAACTGGACATTGAGGATTGGGTCAAAAAGAAGGGAGAGGGGCATCCAGCAGAACACGTTGCTGCAACTCTGAAGCGCTTTCTCCAGATCAAGGCAGAGGATGAGACCAGAGTACAGCGACGGGATCAGCCCGGACCAACATCGGTGACAATGGCGGTGAAGACGGTCTTTGCTTTGCTTAATACACTGGAAGACTTTGTCAGCGACCCTGAAATCTTGACTCCGATTCAACAGAAGTGTGTTGCCACATATCCGCGTCTGATCAACTACGGGGAAGGCTTCGACGAAATCATTGACCGGAATGGTGAAGGTGGGAACGGTCTCTCTGAGGATATCGACAAGCAAATGCAGGAACTTCTCGGGAAAATGTATCGTGAGGAATTGTCGTTTCGAGAAGTACTGGAGCTGATGCGGCGGTACAAAACGTCGCAAGATCCTGCTGAGCAAGATCTTTTTACATGCATCGTTCACGGACTTTTCGACGAATATAACTGCTACCACGAGTACCCTCCCGAGGCTCTGATGAAGACTGCTGTTATGTTTGGCGGCATCATCAATTTCAGGCTGATATCTGGCATACCACTCAAAGTTGGCCTGGGTCTCATCCTTGATGCGGCTAGGAACAGTCAAGCAGATGAACCAATGTACAAATTCGGTGTGGAGGCCCTTGAACAGCTTACTGGCAGGCTTCCGGAATGGGCTGGCGTATGCAACATTTTAGTCCAGATCCCAACACTTCGCAGCACGACCATCTACCAAAAAGCAGAGGAAGTCTTACGCGAGCAGGGACATGACTTTGATGCTGAATCCGACCTCAACGGTGTCAATGGACTGCCGGATGCTCTAGCTCTTACTAACGGTAACCTCGATGAGCTTCTTGCGCCTGATATGTCAGCGAACAACTTTCGTGCTCTCCACGCGGATCCTCCTACGACCAGATACGTAGAGCCAGAAGAAAGTGCACAAGAGGCTATCTCATTTGTGCTCAATAACATTTCACCAGACAACCTGGAGGAGAAACTCGAAGCTATGGAAGAGGCCCTTAAAGAGGAGTATTATCAGTGGTTCGCAAGACAACTTGTCGAAAACCGAGCCAAAACTCAGCCAAACTACCAGCAGCTATATCTAGACATTGTTGAGAAGCTCGAAAACCGACCTTTGATGTCCGAGGTCCTGCGTACCACTTACGCCTGTGCCATCAAACTGTTGAATGCAGATTCGACCATAAGTTCGAGCCAGGAGAGAGCGCACCTGAAGAACATTGGTGTCTGGCTTGGTCTGCTGACAATTGCCAAAGATAAGCCCATCAAGCACAAGAACATCTACTTTAGAGATCTGCTCCTGGAGGCATTTGACACGCAGCGGCTTGTAGTTGTCATCCCGTTCACTTGCAAAGTACTAGTGCAGGGCGCAAACTCCACCGTCTTCAAGCCTCCGAATCCGTGGCTCATGGATATCGTTGCTTTGCTCATGGAGCTCTATCATTACGCCGACCTGAAATTGAACCTCAAGTTCGAGATTGAAGTCTTATGTAAAGAACTCAAAATGGATCCCAAGAATCTAGAGCCGTCCACGATGGTTCGAGATCGCCCGAACCAGATAGAAGAGGAACTGGCTGTCGCTCCAAATATGCCCGATGGGCTTGACATGTTCGAGGACTTATCTTTGGCGAGCATCAATCGAACTGGTCGGAACGAGCGACTTTCGCCAACTGCCATCATGTCTGGTCTACCTCAGCTTGAGAATCGGATCAAGTATCCCCCATCGCAGGAGCCTGAAGCTGTGCGAACTATTGTTAATGAGGCCTTTACACAAGCTGTTGAGGAGATCATTGCGCCTGTGGTCGAGCGCTCAATCACCATTGCTTCCATTTCAACCGCACAACTGATTCAGAAGGATTTTGCCTGCGAGATTGACGACGAAAAGATCCGCTCGGCAGCAAGACAGATGGTTAAGGCTTTGGCCGGCAGCCTCGCGCTTGTGACATGTAAAGAGCCACTGAGGATGAGTATCAGCAACTACATTCGTCGACCACGAGTGGACGTTTCTGACCAGGGACTTTCAGAAGGCTTGACCATTATGTGTGTCAATGACAATCTGGACATGGCTTGTGCTTTCGTAGAGCAAGCTGCCGAAGAACGTTCGATCATCGAGATTGAGCGTTTCCTTGAGCCAGACCTCGAAGAGCGCAGACGCCACAAGGCTACCCGGCCCAACGAACCCTTTGTGGCTCGCAATCTGAGCCGATGGTCCATGTTCATTCCCGAACCATATCGTCAGGGATCGCAAGGCCTCAATGAGGCACAGCGGGAAGTTTACGAGAGCTTTGGTAGACAACCTCGTGCAATTGTCGCCAACCACATGCAGTCCGGTTCTGCGGACTCGACAGGTAGACAGCTGCCAGATGTACTCCAGGAGCCTTTCACTACGATGCCGAATCTATCCACGCCAGGTGAACAACCAGCTGTTCCGCACGCTTCGCAGAATCAAGCGGAAGCTCGACTGAATCTACCAGCCTTGCCGGCGCCGAACCCGCAGTCTCACATGAACGGATTTACGGATACTGTTTCTCCACAAGAAAAGATCCAGAACCTTATGGAGGAGATCCAGCTCGCCGCTCGGTCAGGTTCAGCAGAGAGCGTCAAAGACTTGTCTCCCGAAGATTCTCTGTTGTCTAGCTTTCAGCAAGTTTTCCAGACTCTGACCACATCAGCGCGTCCCAACGGCGAGATCTTGGCACGTTTTGTGGCCGAAAAGATCTGCACCTCGCTCTACAGCGATGCTGAGAGCAAACTTGAGATTGAGGTTCTAGCTTTGATGCTTGCCAAGATTTGCCAACTCTCAGATTTAGTTTATCGCGACGTCTTCCGCTGGATGACCAACCAAGAGGAAAGTCATATCACCAATGTCCCTGTCACGGTGGCCTTGATCAAAGCAGGGTTGATGGAATTTTCCAGAATCGATACAATACTGAGCAAGGCTATCTTACAAAACAGTGACCACGCTCTCAATCTTCTGTCAGACCTGCTCGATCAACTCTTGTTCACCACTGAGCCAGTAGCGCTGCGCGCCGATTTCACCTGCAGTCTTGAAGCCATGAATCAATGGCTCGCTGAAGAACCAAGCCTCACTGTTGCCTCAGAGATAACCCGAAAGCTACGCGAAACTGGCGTGCCGGAGACCATCAACGGTGCCGTGTCTGATGAGATGTCAGCAAAGCAAGACCAACTAGAGTACATCTTCAGTGAATGGGTTCGCGTGTATCAGAACTCAGCTACATCCGACCGCACTTACGCAGCGTTTCTCAAGGATATGCACCAGAAGCAGGTCATCAATAATCAGGGAGACTCAGCGGCGTTCTTTCGCTTCTGTATCGACATCTGTGTTGCTACTTTTGAACAGGAGGCGCTTAGTCCTGCAGGAAGCCTGAGTGATGCCTATCTTCATACCGATGCGTTGGGCAAACTCATCATTCTCTTGGTCAAGCTCCAAGGTGAAGCAAATGGTGCAGTGAAGATCAAAAAGGGTGGATACTTGAACTCGATCTTGTCGGTGGTGGTTCTCGTTCAAAACCATCATCAAGTCATGCGTGGGGATCGTTTCAATCAGCGAGTATTCTTCCGCCTCTTTTCCAGCCTCCTCTGCGAATATTCGCTTGAAAATCTTCACGCCACACCAGAACACAAAGACATGATGCTAGTCCTTGCCGAGACCTTCCTGGCATTGCAGCCTGCTCACTTCCCTGGCTTCGCTTATGCATGGATGAACTTGGTATCCCATCGTGTTTTCATGCCTGCTTTGCTCAATCAATCGGACGAAGCTGGCTGGGACATGTACTGTCTCATCGTGCAGACCATGATCCACTATATTGGTGAACAGCTCAAGCCAACGCGCTTCACCCCAATCACTCAAGATCTCTACAAGGGCGTCCTCAGAATCCTGCTGATCCTCCACCATGACTTCCCTGAGTTTGTGACTGAGAATCACTTCCGCCTGTGCAATGCTATTCCTGTCCATTGCACGCAACTCCGAAATCTGGTCCTTAGCGCGTGCCCTTCGTCGTTTCAAGAACTACCCGATCCATTCACAGGAGGCTTGAAGGTAGATCGTCTGGAGGAGATGAAGAAGCCGCCGGTCATTGCTGGTGATGTCAGGGCACCACTCGAGGAAGCGGGTTTGGACACAGTCGTTGAAGCTGGACTGCGCAAAGGTGGGGATTTGGACACTGCCGTGTCGAAGATATGCGAAGTGATCTATGACCCCAGAGACAAGCACACTGGAGTTGAGTTTGTCACCATCAATGTTGACGTGCCGATGATGAATGCTCTCGTGCTCTACGTTGGACAAGACGCTCTCAGTGTTAGCTCAGCTAGATTTGACCCGGCTTCTCCCCACTTTCAGCTCTTCAGCAAGCTTGCGAAGGCGTTTTCTTCTGAGGCGCGGTATCATTTCTTCAACGCAATGGCCAATCAACTCCGTTACCCAAACAACCACACCAACTATTTCTGCAACACGCTGCTGCATATTTTCGGCGTTGAGCGGGTTGATCAGCAAGAGTCGGATATCCGTCAGCAAATCGTGCGTGTCATATTAGAGAGGCTGATTGTTAATCGACCACATCCATGGGGCATGCTCATCACGTTGTTAGAACTGGACCGAAACACAGCATACAAATTTTGGGAGTTGCCATTTATTGCAGCTTCTCCTGAAGTACGTACCACCATTGAACGTCTTCTTAAAGGCAGTCACTGACCTGGGTCTTGTTGCATAGATCAAGCGCCTGTTTCAAACTCTCTCCAGCCATGTCCACCAGACGCGTCCCACGATTCTCGGCTGACACAATCCTGCCCTCCTATCTATCAGTCTTGCTTCTCGGACATTAGCATGCTCCTTTCCTGTACATTGTCCAAATCACTATCCAATTCTCGATCACAGATATCATACATCTTCCACTGCGCAGATCGGACGAGATGAACCAGAGGCGCGCTGCCGGCTCGATGATGTTCGCACTCTAACTTCTATACCTCCGGTTCTCCATGTGATGTCCGCAGAAGCAGGGGTCCAAGATTCTGCTATGATAATCGTTAGGTTGCGTCGAAAAAGTTGTGCGAAGGCGCCGGCTTGATATGATGATCGTTCTCATGAACGGGATGGGTTGAAATGGCGGTTGCATGTATCATACTTTACGATAGCATTCTAGCTGCGGAGTTGAAGTCGGACAGTACGAACCTTAGCTAGAACAATGTAGGATAATGTTTCTTCTTATCTCTTTCATCAACCTAGGGCTACGTGTAGACTATAGGTGACTGTCTGACTGCTGGGAGAGCTTTCCCCCCCAGATTGGACATCATTTCATGAACAGACAGATTCGAAGGGGCAGGAAGGAATCCAAAGCAACATCAGAGCCGGGAACGAGCATGTGCAAACCTAGGGACAAATGCGGCCTTATTTCCGGATCGTCGAGATTTGTTTGGAGCTTCCTGTTATTGTGAGAAGAAGCAAACGGGGTGGTGTGAGCATCACAATGAACCGGGTTCCTTCCTACGTGTCCGAGGGTTCTATGACCACGATGACGAGCTGAACAGAACTATGCAGCAGTAGATGCGGCGCAATCAGCACGACTGGGGCCATGGCTGGAAGCTCTTTAGAGGACGATGAACAGCAGACTTTAGTGAAGCAGGTCATTGTATGCAGACCGATGAGCCTGATCAAGAGCTATACTTACAGATGTGTAGTCTACGGCCGCCACTCCGATTCACATTGCAACCTCGAGACCAGCATTGAAAGCATATCTGAGCACTCTCCTCTTCCTCGCTGCTTCACTCATACTACTCGCCATATCTACCACTGCCTACCTCCTCTTCTACTACAATTTTATCCCACAAGTCGACCTCATTAAAGTCATTCACCTTCAATATGCCGATGGCCCCTTTCCGCATTCCACAACATATCTGGCCTCTCCATCCTCCACGTCGTCCGCTTTGACTTCCCTCCAGCCATATGACATAACGATCCACCTTCACCTACCTCGGACCCCTACCAACATCGCAGCTGGTAACTTCATGCTCGATCTCTCCCTCCTTTCGCCGCCTTCAATTTCAGAACAACCCATATCAGCCTCGTCAGTTTTAGGACCAAGCAACGCCACCACACTTCTAGCACGCTCTCGGCGTCCAGCAATCCTCCCCTATCAGTCTCGCATAACCTCACTCACGAACACATTTCTCTCCTTACCACTCCATACCCTTTCCTTACGTGATATCGATGCAGCAACGCTTTCGATACCCATGTTTGAAAAAGTCACCTTCGCGCGCGGATGGCGAAATATACCTACGTCTGCAAGGTTAGAGATACAGACGCAAGCACATACTCAGGCTACGTTACTTGGTCAGCCAGCAGATGTACAGCAGCATGTTCCACTACAAGTCTACTCTGCAAGCATTGAATTTCATGCCCGGTTCCGAGGACTGAGGTGGCTGATGTACAATTGGCGAATATTTTCCTTCCTGACCTTTACCAGTGCGTTCTACTCTACTGCGCTTATCTCCACAGGTGTGGCTTGGGGGCTCATCGCCCTTTTCTCACCTTCCTTAATGTCCGGCAAGGAAGATGCAGATGAGCAAAAGAAGATCAAGAAGGAAGCAGATGTTGGGTCTGACTCGAAGGTTGTCAACGGACATGCAAAACGGCCAATCAAGAATGAGCCAGCAGATGAAGATGAAAACGAGGGAGATTCAAGTGAAGAATCAGGACTATCGCTCTCCAATCTTTCGGAGACTGCAACCACTTTTCCCACGCTGTCTAGGCACATGCCAATCCGATACCCAATCCAGCAGTCACCAGCCCAATCCGGCTTCTCGTCCGCATCTGGCTCCACCTCCGGCGGTAACAGAATCAAAACCGAAGAGCCGAGAAATGACATCGAGGCAACAAGGATCGAAGCTACAACAGCGGGAGAATTCGCCGAGGATGAGGACGAGGAAGGGGAAGGGGAAGGGGAAGGGGAATTTGAGGACATCTCCAGGAGTCGAGATCGAGACCTGGACCGGGACCGTGACTCGGGGATCGGAACGAGTATGGAAGAGAGCGCTAGGGAAGCTGTTGGGAGATTACAGAGGAGAAGAAACGGCACGGGTACGGGTACAGGTATGGGTTCGGGTGCGAAACGATGAAAAGTGTTTGACACTATGTATTGCTGGTCGTTACTGCGGCAATGGAACATGCCCATATTGCTACTGTCTTAGGGCTGCGTAACGAGCGGCGCTCAAGGCGCAGATATACACTTGTTCTATCGATACGTACTATACGTAGAAATCACGAAATACAGGTACGACCTACAGAATAAAAATATCGGTACTAGCTAGCAATTCCGTCATCAGAAAAAGCTTCCTCTCTGCCTTGAAATCGAATTGGTACGAGTAGGAGTACGGGTACGGGTAATCTGATCTCCGCTTAGGGAAGATGCTATACTGGTATGATGGATAGCAGGGGCCAGGTTTTGCTTCTTTGCGTACAGATCGGCTATTGCATGGTATCTTGATGGTTATCGTAAATGAAGGTAGGCATGTTTTGGTTATGATGGTTAGGCTACGAGAGGAAGTCGGTGATGGGCTATGGGGAGGGGGCGTGGCAGGAAGGGGAAGGGGAAGGTTCAGATTCTGATCGCGTGAGATACAGATGTGGCCCTTGTTGTGTTAGAGTGTGTGCTGGTGAGATGAGACATAGCGTACAAGTGAGTATTTGGAGGAAATCCTATTTTAATTGTAATGATAGTTATGTGTAGGTTTAACGATTTTATTGTTAGAAAGTCTACTTATGTACTTGAGAAGTATTGAGAATTATGACTTTAGATCGAATAAGTTCTAGTTTCAATTGGTTTTAGATTTCAAGTTTAAGCTATTATAGTACTAGTACAATACCAGCTAGCTATCCTGCTAGCTACTACTGTAATAGAAAGACGTACTACGGTAGGAGGCATAATGATTGTCACCTGCGTACTAGTAACTGTTTGTAACGCCAAGATAGAACGCCACAAAATTGCTCGATTAGAAACTAGTCTATTTTTCTCAGTATCAAAGTGTGCATTTCTTTAGCATCAACAAATGTCTTGTATCTTGTTAGCATTGAGAATTTGTAGATGGCGCAGAAGGAGATAGAATCAATAGAATAATGCGTAAAATCAACAAAACGCGTGTAGAACGGCGACAGTAAGCATTCGTACAGAGCAACAGGGTATCTGTATGAGCGCTGTTAATGACGTTACTTACTAGTGCGCAGGTGACAATCATTATGCCTCCTACCGTAGTAATGTTAGTATAACATTAGTACTTTTGCTCTAGAGCGGACTCCTTGTGAGACAGCTAGACTTCGAACGGTTAGCAGTATTGTTGTGGCCGATATCTGTGGCCATCGACCAGAGAAGCTTCCATACTACGTGTATCCATGTGGCGCTGTATTATAACTAGCTGTTACTGGAACCATGCTAACATCACTTCTGTCTGATACCGTAGTAGAATACATTGGAGACTTTTCATGTACGACTCCGTAAGATGAGGCGATATTGTTAGCCAGTCTCACGGTTTTCATGCGGCTGTCTCGCAATCCTTTTTCGTGACGGCTTTTGATTTTGTCTCCTGGTCCATGAGCAGATCCAAGGCACGTCAGAAATCAGAAGTAATGGGGCCCGGTCTTCAGCATTAGTTGCGACACTAGGACCTAGATGCGAGTAAGTCAACATACCCATCAGTGCTGAGATTTTGAGACCAACAAATTGCCAGCGGGGGCGCCAATGTTGATTGAACGCAGACCCTACGATCTTGACTGGAATAGTCGGAACGAAATCAAATCCTATGCTACGAAGGCTGCCGTGCCATACGTTAAAGACGATGGACGCCCAAGTTTCACAGGAGCACAAAGTGCGGTCTACAGGGCAACCATAACAACTACAACAGGTCTGCTGCGTCGCATCCATGTCGACGAGTTTGCAATCAAGGAGATACGGCTGGGAGATATTCGAGCGCGGGAGAGATTAAGAGATGAGATCAAACACCTCCGACTTTGCGATCATCGGAATATTTTGAGGCTACGAGAGGCTTATACAATTGATGAGGAGCAATGGACCGATACCACATTCCTTGTGACTGAGCCGTGGGCGCAGGCATCGCTTCAGAGATTCATAGAGAATGTGGCCAACTCTAAGGACGGGGGAAGCTCGCTGTGCCCTTGGTACATCCCGCAAAATCTCGAGCCTTGGCCTGACGTTGTCCGACAATGTATCCTTGGAGTAAAGCACTTACATGAGAAGACAATCAAGCACAAGGACCTCAAGCCAGATAACATCCTCCTATTCGATGAGTCAAATGGTGACTACTCACATCCAAAAGTTCGCCCTATTATTGCAGATTTCGGAATCAGTAAGGGATATGTCGTCGGGGCCAGAACCAGCTTTCAAGGCACCTACCAATACTTGGCACCTGAGCAGGTTGCTGAAGAGTCCAGCACGCAGCAGTCAGACATCTTTTCTCTTGGCTGCTGCTTTGCGTGGATTCAATCAATCTTATGTTCCAAGCCTTGGAAGGCAGGCTCAGAGAAGGAACAAGGCATTTTACGGCTGGACAGCGAAGTTTGTGTTGGGTTTTCGAAAGCTGCAGCAAGCATTCCGAACCTTTTAAAAGAGTTGCGCATAGAAGTGAGCCCGAAGAGACCCGAGAAAGTTCAATTTCTTTTCGTAATGGAAGACATGATTACAACTATGCTCGTGGCGACCCCTAGCCAACGAGCAAACCTAGGAGACCTACTAAAAGAACTTGACTTATATGAAGCTACTTGTCGCCAGACCAAACAGCAAAAGTTCCTCGACCTGTGTATCACCAGCGGACGAAACACGATAGCGATGGAGATTGATATCTCCGACATCTCAACAGACACTGAACTTTTCAAAGCAATCAAACGACGATATATAGCCTTGGATCGCCATTCCAACTTACGTTGGTTTATCAGGCTTCTAGGTATATCAGACATCACTGATGTCCGGTTTGTCAAATTCGCACTCAGTAACGGTGTCTTTGGGGTTCTTGATGGACCAAATTCAATGCCACCAGTGTCCCTCGTAGGGTTGCAAGAATACGACTACTCCCCTAGTCCAATGACTGAGGTGCCTATCCCCCGGAATATCTTTATTCCGCTTCTCTCAGCGGCAACTATTCATCCGCCGACCGAGGGGCTCTGGAATTGGTTTGCGTGCCGTCTTACAGGTACACGCGTACCAGATAAAAGCTCATCGACCCATTTTTGGCTCGATCGTATCCCCAAACGGCTTTACGTCACTGGTCATCGCGGACATGCAGCTGAGGCGACAGAAAGACAATCTGACATTGTTGGATGGGGAATAGAGATTGTCCAAGATATAAGAGAGATCTTTTTAATGAATTACCCGTCGCTCTGCTGGGCGCTGAATCTAGGTATCTCGCTGATCTTCTCGGCGCTGAATATCAAGTCCTCGATGGGCGGGGGGGAGAATAATATGTTGCGCGGCGTGGGGACCATCTTGGCCACCACGTCTATTTTACCCACGCTACATCTGATTCACCTGACTCGTTCAGAGATTGATCGAGCCTTTAAATTTAAAGAGGCCTAGAGTCCTTCAGCGCGAACTTACGCTCAATTGAGAGGGACTGAGGACTCATCTGTGCTGGATTGCAGCGTGTTAGCGTTCAATTTACCAAGAAGTTCAAAAAGCTTTCGGGAGTTTGGTTGTTTTTGTTTTGGAAGGTGGGTGGAAAGTTGTTTGATGAGATGGGTTTTCTTGATATTTTGTATATATGTGTGTGTGTGTTTGTTTTGGAAGGTGGGTGGAAAGTTGTTTGATGAGATGGGTTTTCTTGATATTTTGTATATATGTGTGTGTGTGTGTGCGTGTGTGTGAGGTCGATTGGGGCGTTGAGGGCAGAGGCAGCGTATTATGGGCCTATGATTCCTGGGAGAACTTGGGGCTGTCACATCAACGCGGTTCAACCATGCTACGGCCGGGTCTGGGTGTGTATCCTACTTATCGAGCATGACATGAGCAGAAAGGAGATCATTATTTCTGCTGATTTAATCTCATCATCTCTTTTTGAGTCGTCAGAGACAGTGTCACTATGAATAAATATGGCTTCTCTCATTCATTCATCCGTTTCTTCATTCATCCACCCACAACCATCGCTCAGCTCGGTTCCCAACATTAAACCCCCCCCCCCTCTTCCGATCTTAAATACTTTGTTCATTCGGATTACTGACCCAGTTCCCACTATAGCACGTATTCCTGATGCCATTATCATCCACACAAGCCCTGACCCGGGCGCGATAGATCTCGCCCAGCCCATCCCGCCACGTGTTCGGCTTGTAGCCGTTCTTGCCGCCGACCTGGAGGTAGGCGTAGACTTCGTGGCTGTCGCAGGCCGTGTCGCCCACGGTGCAGTGCGCGTGGTCCAGCGTCGATTTGCTCAGCCAGCGCCATTGGCAGTTTGCTGCCACGCCGGCGTCGGAGACGCGGGAGGGGTCGGCTTGCACGACGATGCGGCGGGGGAGAGGGCTGCTGCGTCTGGGTCGGCTTCGGGTTCGGGTTCGGGTTCAGGTGCGGGATCTGCTTCGCGTGTGAGGATGACGGTAGAGCTGGCCCAGAGACCGCCGGCGGGGGAAGTGCCCGAGGAGCGGGCTTCGCGGTTCGTGATGGTATCGGAAGGGAAGGGCGCGGCGGGGACGCCCCTACTGAAAAGATATAGTGCCAGAGCACATGTTGCGAATAAGGTAGATGGTCTTGACAGCATGGTGCTTTGATTCCTTGCCCTTGACTTGAAGATTGGACGGCTTGTAGGAGCTATTTAGATTTCTTGTCTCGCAAAGAAAGGCCTATTCCTTGATGGTGCTGACAACAACTGGTGACTCGGACACTGCTACAGTTCGTTCCAAAGCTCTTCTGATCATGTACATGTTTATCTGCCATCAAACACACTTTTATACCCCATTTCCAACCCTGGCTGGTCTCGTCGCTTATTACTCGGCAACCCCCAACCTTGGTGTTCGTATCCGTGTTCTGAGCTTCATGGAAAGAGTATTTCGCTCCATTTATTTCATGCATTAACAAGCCAATGCTGACCCCCGAGAACCAATATCCTCCCGTCCACAGAAGTAGACTTCAGGTGGCTCCTCTTTTCCCGCGTGGTGGATGATGCTGTTTCTGGATGCCTGAAGCTCTCGTATCCCATAGCTCTAGGATAATGGACAGGTTTATTGATGCGAGCAGGTTGCCCGCTACTGGAAAACGGCCGAGGTGTTCCTTCGCTAAAGAAGCATCGCTAATAGGTAGTAGAACGGCTTACGTGTTGTAGTGTGGGAGCGAAAAACCTGATTCCGAGTTGGGGAGGAGAAAATGCTTGATGATCTTGGCAAGGACTATTTTTATCCTCATCTACTCCATAGTTGATATGTACTTAGTGTGTACTCGCTGACATACACTGGTGAGAGTTTCACGCATCTCCTGACTGGTGACCGAAGTCGCCAGCGGCGGTTCAAAGCGACTTGAGCTTCAAATCTTTCACTTGTAATAGGCGCATGTTTGAGCAAGGCGTCCTACGCCTCTGGCTGTTGACCAATTGGAGGATATGGGAAATCCACATCAGAGCGGCAGATAAGGAAATCTAGCGGATTTGTCACCTACTCCACCAATTCGTCGTAATATTATAGCCTTGAGACCTGAACACCTATATTTCTTCTCTCCATCTTCTCGCATCAAACCGTGAACATAAGCATCACCAACGAGAATATAGGCCTCATCATATTTCTTCCTCAGCACAAACGGCGCTTTGCAGCCTTGAAAGCCGCAGATCTGATCTTGTCCATTCCAAAGCAGGAAGTGATCATGCTCTTGAGCCTTTCCGGCACAGGGACGCTCGAGATTTCTACCAATTCATAGTTTGGACGTTCCTGCAGGAATTTTTTTTCATACTGGTCCGTAGTAGAGAATCTCTGGAGACAAGCGGAAGGATCTCTAATATTCGTATTTGGCCATTTTGCGGTGGAGGGCCATAATGAGAATTGATAACTGATTGAAAGCAGCGTAGGGCTCGCTGGTAGATGCCAGGTAAGAGTGCTGACTGTTGCACACATTCTCCAGGATTGCTACGGTTGATACATATGACGTTAAGCCGAATACACATCCAACCGGCAGCCATTATGGTGTAGCCGCTGTAGATTTGAGTACAAATGGGGTGGTGACTGGAAGTAGCTCGTCATTGTATAAGATGACATGATCGAAAGAAGCATCATCATTGTTGACAACCTGCACTACATACTGCGGCGCCTCCTCAGGTCGCACCGCCTGAAGACTACAGTAAATCAAGTCGTATGGGGTGCTGGCAGGTTCAAGCTGTAAGAGACGGATCTCGTGCGCATCTGAATCAATTGGCGATGAACGCAGACATCGCTTGGCTCAATGCTGCGAGCGTCAGCCATGACTATCGAATTTTCGGAGTGACCTGTGTCAAGAACGACCGGTTAGAATAGGTCAACGGAACGTAGAGGATAGGGGAATATTATTGTCTAGTTGATACAGGTCTCTGACTTGGTTGATCCAGTGTGCTTACTTTGGAAGTGTCATCCTAAAGCCTGGCCAATGCCATGGCTGAAATTTAAATGGTTGAAGCCCCGAGCGGAATAATTCCTAGCAGTATCTACTTGCCTGAAGCCCCTGAACAGGGGTTTAATACAGGCATGAATCTAGATGTCAATGCCCAGTGGAGGTAGATTGCGAATGAATCCAGAAGCGACAGAATGAAGTACAGACCACTCTCTTGAAACCTGCCCAGATTGAGGTGTCACGGAGATTATTCCATGCAGATTACCAGTTGCTTTGACGTTAAAACCCCGTGCTGAGGCCACGTGATCAGCGCTTTCCCCACAAAACGGAGTACTTGACAATCCACGTTTCATCATTGTGGAAGCCAAGTCTCCAAGAAGAGGAACATGGCAAAGACGGCATTGAGGTGAGTCTTGCATCACTTATTAGATCTTCGAGGTGCGGCGTGTTGCCTGTTCTCTGCTAGTGAGACATTTAGGATACGGGCACTGCATTTTACATACCCAGTTTGTATCAAACTTCCTTGCAGAACTATGGAAGTCATAGAGTATAAGACCTATGTATCGTCGCTGGTCTACCTGGTCGCGTCATTGCACTAAATACTTTGTTCCAAATTCATTGTTTTCAGGCGAAACACGTCTTGTAAGTCGCTCGGTAAGAATTCATCTAACTACATCATTATGACGTCGAATACTCAATCTGCTATCAGATATTCTGGCAGAGGAGGAAGAGGAGGAACAGCGCAAGGTAGTGGTGGTCAGCATTATTCATCCTCCGGCGCAAATGGTCGCGTTGGTGGTCAGGCTGCCGGACGTGCGGCTCATCCTGACGCGGAAGATGTTGGGAACATTCCCGGACCCATACCCAGAGAAGGCCCTTACAACATGGAGCGATACATCCGTGAATTGGAAGAGATGACCAGCATGGTAAGGCGCACCGGCGTGCAGCAAAGCACTCATGGTGGGTCTGGAATTGAGGACGATACGACGGGGAACGTAAGAATGCCACGGCAGCTGCCGAATACTTGTATCCCTCGTGGCGTACCCGGCCGCGTCGAGGTTAATAATGAGCGGCAGCTACGGCGCAGCAACCTCCGTCCCTCTCCAGCTGAGAGGGAAAGAGCAGCAGCAACAGCGGTCGCGGCAATCAGTGCTGCTCCAAGGCAAAATGCGGCAGCAAGGTCTGGAGGTTCAAAACCAGTGCGGACAGCTGCGAACGCTATTACATCACCTTTTCTAGCTGCAGCCTCGTCCAGGAATCCGCTTCGACTTATGCCTGGTACTGACCCATCTCAGCGGGGTGGTGCTGCTGCTACAACATTCAATCCATCAAGATAAGAAGGCTCATCACAAAGTAGACGACGATCCGAGTTCGGGGACCAAGGTCTCCAGGATCACAGATAAGTAGTTGTGCTTTTATACGATATGTTCAAGTCGCCAACGAGGTGGAACGAGCAAGATAGAAGATGTCGCTTGGAAATATGCGGCTTGGGTATCGCTTGATGTGAGGACCAGAGGACCAAAGGAGAACTGAAAAGATGTGCGTGTGTGCTTTCCTTGATTTTTCTGTTGGGATTACGTCCAAGGGTTAACCCGGTTTAATCAATCCATTCTACCACACTTGCTCCGCAGACGTTGTCAGCATGAAGCGATTGCGAGCTCCATTTCTTTTCTGGCCCCACGCGCATTACTACTACTAGTAGCAGCTTCCATCTTTATACAAAGGTAAAACAGTCGATTTGAACTGTACTTGGTTGGACATTGAATAACATGCCCTGCTGTAATGGGGTCCATAGCACCTCAGAACTCCCATGAACGATTTTAGTCCGCTATCAAGTCCTTTATCCTACCTAGTTTTTCCTAACCTACTTTAACAATGTCTTAGACTTTCGAAACGGAGTCTTGGCGGACGTCCGAAGATTCGCAATAGCAGACTCGGTTCATTTTCACAAACTCGACCCACGTTTCTCAACCTGCTGCTGGGTGGATCAATGCAATGGCCGCGGAACACTTAATATTATCCACAGCAGTACTCCGTACCATTACTTTATTCTTGTACAGCTGGTCTGTCTTGTGCTTGAACGCTCCAGAGCCAACTAGCGGTCGCTGTGGCTTTCTCAAGTGCAAACTTTGGCGGACCATGTTTGCCCCTGATTTTTCCAGAGGTCATCACTGGTATAGCTGGCGAGCGATCGAGGGCTGCAACCCTGTGTACGGAGGACTTTCTGGGTCTTGGTTGTTCACAGTGGCCGATGAGGAAGGCATTCTCCGCCAACATTGGTGGCTTTACCTTGAAGTCGCCAGTCTTTCCCGAGTTTCCGATCGATGACCAGCAGTTAGCGTACCTCGTAAGAGACAAGTACTTGGAGCTTCCAACCATTGGCGACAATGCAATCCGGGACAAGAACAAAGCAGATAGATTTGCGCGCATCGTCACGGTCATACTGATTGGGGGATTTTCTGCCCAGTGCCTTGGGCGGGCCTTCCAGCAGCTAGGTCTGTCGACTCTTGAAGTGACCGTAATTGCAAATATCTTCGGCGCGATCTGTACCTTTTTCTTCTGGAGTCTAAGCCCTTTGACGTTGAGGACCGCTTCATACTGCATACACTCGGTACCGATACCCCGGATCCTGATAGAAGCTGGAGACAAGGCTCGTGAACCCTACTCCCGTACGCCCCTAGACTTTGTTATCGGACCAGACCCAACCTTACGAATTTGCTGGCTTGGACTTCAAAGCATGTTAAAAGCCGAGAGTGATCCTCCTGGCCGTCCCATAAGGTCCATCGGCATCACGTCACCCTGCCGCCGGGGGATTACAAAAGCTGGGACGTCATGTTCTCCGTCCTCTTCTGGCTGAGCTTTTTTGGGTATCCTGCACCGCATCTTGACCGCACCATGGCAACCAGTGGGGTCGGCCGTTTTGCTGCCTTACTCAAGAATTAACACCCGGCTCGACTTCAGCTCAGTCTGCGTTCGGCTTGCGTTTGTACAGCTGGAGAAAGTGAGCGAAAAACCAGAAATGGCAACGCGCCATGTAGAGAGAACAGAAACGAGACCTGTTTCTATGAGGCAATCCTCTTGTTCATCCTGTTGCCTCGGTGAAGGGAATCAAGTATAGCTGAACCAGGAGTAGAGCGGTGATGAGGTATGCCTGTAGACCTGAACTATTCAGCCGTCATTGCCCTGAGTGGCATTGGAGATATCGGAGATAACACTTGGCTGACCAGTTTCAACCTCGTAGCCATGTGACCAGTTACTACCCTTCTCGTCACCTGTATAAACATGTGAGATTCGTTGTTCATAAGTGCTCATTTATGCTCACCTCTGAGTTGTCATGAGCACCCTCTTTGACAGGGTCTGCTTCGCGAAGCCTTTCTCTCAACTTCTTTACTTCCTCACCAAGGCTTTCCTCCACGTCAGCTTCGACGGTCGTGTTCCAGTTGAGGAGGGCCCCTCCCTGACATGGCTTAATAACCAGATCAAGCCAGGCCTAACATGGCATTGAAGAAAACCACCAACCTCTGTAAGACACAAGCGCTAATCTTTAGCCAATGTGAGGTACAAATGCCAACCAATCGACGGTACTGTATACATCGGCTGGCATCGCGCGAAAGGCGATGAAGTCTTCCACCAGAATGTAGGCTCGAAAGAGAAAGTACGTCCCGAAGAAAAACACTATTCCTAATACAAAAAGGAGGGACACGTCTAGACTTGGATCGTTCCCGGGGCTGTTGTTCCTGATCTTCATTACCCCGGTCCGAAACCGATATACGAGACGGTCCTTCCACTTTGCCTTATCAGGAAGGTTGAAGCCTTCAAGCGCTTTCCTACGCTTCTGAACCTTCTCCTGCATCCTCTTGATCCCGCGTTTTGTGTATAACAATTCAGCGACAGGCATGCCCAAACAAGCGATCACAACTAGCCCACAGGATGAGAGTCGCCACAATAATCTTTCAATTGGAGTGGGGAAGTGGAAGTTCCATGCGATGAAATTGATGCCCATAAACGTAAGCCCGAAAAACACCCCTATCACCATTGTTACTCCTGTAACGGGAAGCACGTCGTTGTCTGACCGTCTCCCAAGCGATTTCTTCTTGCTCCTCTGCCAGGCGTGAGGGCGCAGGCTCTTCAACGTATTGATTAGATATTGGTAGATCAGGTTGAAATACCAGATCGAGCGGCTGACAAAGTCGAGTGGCGTTCGGAAGTATGGTCGTGTTCGAGCTGCCTCATCCTCTTCCAGCAGGATCAGCTCGCCAAGCGTAATATTGATGGAGATGACCTCTATCGACTCGACATCAGCAGACTTGTCTTTCCAAAAGTAGTAGACTAGAATGCTATCGACAATGATCCCGATCACTGTGATCTCCAGTGTTGTGACCGCAAGACCCTGGGAAGCACGAGCTATGATGTTGATGCAGAACCATAGTGCCTGCCCGACGGCAATCAGACGTATAAAAGTGTCTGAATTGTTCCGATCACTAATGGTTTTAGAGTCCAGCAAGAAGCTCTTCTCGAACTGGGCGGTCGAAATGGCCTGGCGCTGAAGTAGCCATAGGATTTGTTTCTCATCGAGAAAGAAACGGACGTCATCGCTTGTTCGGAGCACAAACCCACCCATGATAGCGAAAAAGGCGTGTTTCAACGTCCACTCGTCGTCTTGTCGGAGCTGTTTAAACTCGGCCACAGATGCGCGTGCGGATTGCCACTCGCCGAGCGCATAGCCGAGCAGACACTCTGGTCCCAGTAACGAAATAATGGTGATCCACATCTTGCGCCTGATGCGCGTCCATGTCGTGTCATTCGGTTCCGGCACGTTCAAGCATATCGCGGACCAAGTCGATAGGAAAACGGTCACGAGGCAAGCCCAGAAAATGTCGAGAGTTCCCCGCCCGTCTGGTGAGGATGTCCATCCTTGCAACCCCTTGCTTGTGTTGTTCGCCGACATTCTGGCTGTGGGTTGCGATTATCAGATTCTGTCAACCTGCTGTGCAGAGTGCGTAGAAAAGCAAGTTGATTGATAGCTACGGGGGTAGAGAGCGTAGATCTATGTACAATTAGCTGTACCGTACAGCGAAATTAGAAGCGAAATTGCGTCGGAAATTGACCAATTAGAAGCAGCAGAAACGCAGGGATTACGCATATTAAACGCGGCCAATTAGCCCTCTCAGAAGGTCAACAGATTCTCGTGTATATAGTGAATCACGGATTGCATTCATGTCCAGTCCAGTACAGATTTGGGGATCAACTAAAGCGACACCCTCTTTTACTTCAGCGACACCCTCTAGTCCTAATTGGGCTTAGCTTACAAAATCAGCATCTCGATATTTTTGCTGCAGAAATCACTGCCTCTGTCAACTGCCTCTGTCAACTGCCTATCCCTTTGCCTCCCTCTGCTTCTCCTTCTGTAGCCTGTCCGGCCTTCCTGTTACTGCTCTCGTCATCCCTGAGAATTCGGGCATCTCTGACCAGAGTGGAGGGGCAGTACCACCTGATTTGACCAGTCGCCTCTACTCAATCTTCATAATTTTCTTCTCAACAGGATCAAGTTCATCTCTAATAAAAGAAGGTGTCCTTTTTCGCTTATTCTTATTCTCTTCTGGATCTGTTTGAGGTAGTTGACGAGCTCGTATCTCGGCTGATATTGCTTCTGTTTCGCGAGAGTACTGATATGACTAAGAAAGTGGCTGAGATAGCTGCGATTCTTGAGGAGAAGATAA